AGCTCCATTCTGCCAATGTGGAGATATAAACGTCTAAATTCAATATTGTACATGTCCATCCACACATTTAAGGGCATAGGTTTCAATGAGTATAACATCAGAAGGCTATACGCTGTAGGTGGTTTCAACTATTGACCCTGTGAATCATACATTAAACATTTGACCTCAAGAAATAAGACTTGCTGAGAACATCACCTTAAAGGTCTCCTTGATGAGTCATATTCATAGACTGTGTAAAATGGGTCATATTAAAGGTCCCATGTCATGGCCATTTCTACTGATCATAATTCCATTGTTGAGGTCTACTAAAATAGATTTATATTGTGCAATTTTCCAAACTCACATTGGTTTCTCATACAGCATCTCTGTAAAGTATGTGTATTCACCGGTATTCACTCTCTGTCCTAAACGGCTGGTTGGAGCTCCTGCCCCTCCATCCTGAGCACACACAAACACTCACAGCCGAAGTAAAAACAATAAGTGTGGCTTGATATTGAGTAAGAAAAAGGTTTATAAACGCTGTGAGAATGGGTCTGCAGAGAGCATTTCTCCGCGATCCCAACTCGTCTATTACCAACCAGGGAGCTCTATGCAAGTCAATGGGACTCCCTGTTAGTTGAAAATGTACGCTAAAGGTCCTGGTGTGTGAGGAGCTCCGCGGATTGGTCCATTTTGGTTGAAACAAATGGAAAAAGAGAAATCTCCACCGAGGCGTTTTGGGGCAGCATAGACAGGTCTTTTCTGTGTTAGAGTTTTACTCGCTACAGGGTGTACTTTGAGGGTTTGTGACTTTGCAGACCGTTTACATGCATAAAAACCTTCATAACACACAAGGGGACGGGTAATAACCGGAAAAGCATGACATGGGACCTTTACCGGATATGGAGCTAGGCATTACAGGAACCTGAGAAAAAACGCTTCCCTTGAGACTTAATATCAATATGTTAGCACGATCACATGTTTGCCTCTTTAACCTGCATGAGTACATGTGGAACATACTTATTTCTCCATGTATCTACATCCACATGTATTAATGAACAGCCAAGAACAGTTGGAAATTATTGTATATCTTACATTATTAAAGTGTGTGTATAAAGTACTTGAGCATATTGTTAAATAATGGATTTACGAGTAACTGGTGCACCACAATCCTGCAGCACAGCATGGATATTTTAAATTAAAAGAGTCTACAGTCATGTAAACAGACAGCCTTGGAACTACTAAAGAATATCCCCTCTAATTGTGTTTACACCTACACAATTAAGTCTGGGATACACAGAAGCATTATAGCGCCAAGATCTTCTTTATGTTTAATCATTAATGAGGCAGGTATTATTTTTGTCCTGGGAGATATTGGGTCAATAAATGTAAGTGTGGGGATAACATAAACACTATATGATGTAATGTCTCCATCTAGTGACTGAACTGGTGTTAACACTGTTTTTACTGCCTTACATTCATTATGTTATCTTACACTTGGATGCTCTTGGAGGAAAATGGATCAGTAAAATAAACAATTAACTCTTCGGCTAATGGTAGATTATTTTTCCAATGTTTTTTTGATTCACGGTACAGAGAAGGTATTTTTACTGACTAAAGGATCACACATATACTGACATTTTATCTGCTGTAAAAAATGTACAATTAAAGGTTTTAAGCTGGTATAATCAATATTTAATGATGCTTACAGTAAATGACTATGTGTATAAGTGATGTGTCACGTGTAGTTGTGAACCCACAAATAATTATCCACTCGACTCTTCAGTTAACTACATCTGTACGAAAGTTAACTTTTCTGTTTGGTTCCCGTCAGACAGCTGTTTTTGCAAATCTCCCTGCACAAATACCTGCTCAGCGAGACTTCACACAAAGCTCTCAAAGTTAGCAGCTAGCTGGTGAACATGGAGCATTTAGCAGCTGATGAGCCAGATATTTCCCCCAGGATTCGACCAAAATCGGAGCTAAAATTAGAATGAAGATTGGACTAACTATCACCAGATGGCCCTGAAACATGAGTTAGAATTAATGTAAATTGCCTCTAACAAGTTTCCTATGTAAACTTAATAAGATGAATGATATGTCAGTGTTGTGTTTACAGCATTTTTAGAGTGGCCCATTATGCTTTTGGGGGGGTTTCCCTTTCCTGTAGTGTGTTATATAGGTTTTTGTGCATGTTAATGGTCCCCAGAAGGAGTTTCTCTCCCACACGCCTCGACTCACGTCTTATGGTTTTCCCTGCACATTTTGTTAACAAACAAAAATATGAATTGTTAATTAACATTAAAGGTGGTGGTATGTGAGTTGTGTTACTGTTGGACAGACCCTCTGTTTTCAGCCTTTTATGCTCAGCTAAGAAGAACCTCTGCTTGCCCTTTCATTTGAATAATCACCCTACAGATATAAAGAGGGTATCTTGTCATCTTACTGTCATAAAAAAGGTTATTCCCAGAAAAGCTCACCCTATGACTTTAAGACTATATGTGGGTGGCTGGGCTTCAGGCTCTTATAAATCCCTGTCCCCTGTAGAGAAGCTAACCTAGTGTCATAGTCAAGATTGAATTACTAAATAAAAGAGGACCCTCTGTCTCTCTGAGAACCTCAATTGGCAGCAATTTTGTGCAATGTCAGATCGACCCCTGTGGAAGATGTCTGTCAGCGGTTCACACATCCACTCCTGCCCGAGGGACACGATGAGGCCGGAGAAAGTTCAACAGCAGTTCACAATTTGCACTGCAAAGACTATATCCCTCTTTATTTTACATTTTATATTCCAGACCTTCATCTCTTCCTTGCCTTCTCATTATCCCCCTCTGAGGGACGAGAGCTCAAAGGTAGATGGAAGCACATGTGTCCTCCATGGACTGAATGTTAAGCATTTTTATTGAATAAAACAATCACGTTAGCCTTAGGGGGTTTTGGTTAAAAGAGGCTTAGAACACCTGATGGATTATTAATTAATTTATCCTTCAAGCTTAGATTTATTTTCTTAATGTGGGGAGTAGACAAAAGGAAACATGAATGACACTTTTAATTAGAAGATGAGAGAGACTGCTGGGGTTTCATCATTTCAAGCTTTAAATGATGAATTTGCACATTTTGCAAACACAGCGTTGTCAAAAAGATGACTTCAATTCAATCTTAACGCCCAAATGCATTAGATGTTTATGCAAGTCTAAGAAAAAGAAATTAAATAAAAGCTCAGTGGTGATAATTAACCTGCCATTAAGGAAACATAAGAGCTTTCGCAGAGTCAGCAAATAAGAGTGTATCGTTGCCACTGCAGCTTCTTCTCATCTGCAACTTCCTGATCTGATCTCATTGGATTAAATGGGATGTAATGATCACTCCTGACTGTTATGAATTGAAAAACAATCCCCAAAAACATTGAAAAAAAATTATTTGATGCACAACATCACATGTCACTAATTTATTTACACCAGAACTGAAGCTGCAGGTCAACTAATTGTTTAGTATTGATCAAAATACATATATTTTGATAATCAATTAATTTTCCAAGTTATTTTTAATGCAAAAATGGCAGGAAATGCTGTTTTCAGAACCAAAAATATTGGGATTTACTGGTTTTCTGAGTTTTACATCATATTCAACTGAATATCTTTTGATTTACAACTAACAAAACAAGACAATCATTGGACTTTGAGAAACTGGGATGGATATTTCTACCGATTTTTTTTGATTTTGTAGAACAAGAGTTGAATAAATGTAATTGAGAAAACAGTCAGCAGATTAAAAAAGAACCAAACAGATATTTTGATGTTTTTTATTCTAAGTATACAACTTCGACATAACACTTTAAATAATAAAACACTGGATGGCCAATGAGATCCCTGATGTGGAGAACCTTGGCGTGAAAATATTTGGCCGTCCTTGTAAAATCAGTTCCTCCATATTCAGCTTTAATTAGCCTCCCGCTGAAACTTGGTCAAGTTCAGTCAAGGTCTTCCCTTTTGAAGTTTCACAGAGGAGAAACTTTACTCACAAGCCTTCAGTCAAATGTTGAACTTTTAAATTAAACGTATTCATGTACTTTTTGTATTCTCTTAAGAAATAAAAGATATCCATTCTTTTTTAAAAGCCTGAAGGAAAATTCCACCTTGTTACACCAAAATTAATAAATAATTGAACAAAGCAATGCGTCAGCCTAATGAACAACTGCGTATTGATACCAATATAACTTGTCTTGAAAATGATTTTGTGCTTGGTTTTCATTTCATTGGTTTTTTCATTATAGACATTTCTAACTACACAACAAAACCCCCTTGATGATTGTTGTGCTCTAAATAAGGGTTTGTTTGTGCAAGTCGGAGTGTATTTTTGCGAACCAAATTGAAAATACTAATACTAACATTTTTAAGAACCATGTTAAATTCATTCTTGCATGTATATTAACTGTTTAAACTGAGTTTGAAATGCTGCGTTCAAGTACTCTCAGCTTCTGCTTCCAACTAATGACGTTTATTTAGTGTCAATGTCCTAAAACATAAATACTATTTTTTCACGTTATATGTCCCCAACTTTTTTACCTGCTGCTCTATTTTTCCTTTTTTCTTTTTGTTTACCATTAGTAGCTAGCTACCATTATCACTGTTATTGTTATTATCAACTCGTTTTCATTATCATTTGTATATTAATAGTAGTAGTTATGGTGCTAGTGGTATTGAAATAGTAGTCATGGTTGTGGTTTGTAGACTAGCTGTGCTTGAATTTACCATTAAACAGCAATGTTGTATAAAAAGGTTGAACATTTTTAGGATAATTATAGGCTTTTGAGTCACTCTATGCCAAACACCAACAAAACAAATTTTGAAATGAACCTCATACACCAGGATTAATGTATTGCATACAGTTCGCAGTTCAACTTAACAGCCTAACCTCTCTTTTAAATCAGTCTTGCATGATTTAGCCACTTCCCCTGCCGACCAAGAATGGTCTGCGTGTTAACTTTCATATTTCCGACAGCCCGTGAAAGCACCATATTGTACAGTGACGGTATCATGGCGCAGCAGAGGCCGAAGATATCATGAGACATCCCCGCATTCAAACTTTAATTACACCTCGACTTGTACGGTATTAACCCGCTATTCTCTCTAAAATAATCAACATCTTTGGAGGCAAACACTGGTGAGTTTACTTAATCTGCTTATTTTTAAGGTTATTCTCGTCCAAGTGGAGGAAAGACAGACAGTAGCGCGTTACATCATGTCCGACCGCAAAATAACGTGCACAGAAGTTGCAGCACTTTCCGTTCTTGAGCTGTGTTGTTGTTATTGTTGTTCTTGTTGTTATTAGCGTTTAGTGACGCTTCATCTGTGGCTTTGTATCTGTGCTAAGCTTTAGCATTAGCATCTATATTATCACAGGCCAAACATGGCATTGAAGAGACACATGTCTCCTCTCTGGAGCCTCAGTGTCAGTATATGGACTTGTATGGAGCATACTGAGGATGCATATGTTTATTATTACGAGAGGTGGAATGTTACTCAGTCAGTACCTTTACTCAAATACTGTAAACAAGCACACTTTTGAGGCACTTTTACATCAGTTTTTCCATGTTTTTACAACTCAGTACATGTACTCAAGTACTGTAAAATTGTACTTCTACTCCATAATTTAATGCATCAATAATTACAATCAAAACATATCATATATATTATTCTGAAATGGACCAATCTGCACAATGACTACTTTTATTTTTGGTACTTTAAGTTTATTTTGATGCTCGTACTTTTGTACTTTTACTTGAGTACAATTTTGAATGCAGGACTTTTACTTGTAACAGAGTATTCCTACACTCTGGTACTTCTACTTTTACTCAAGTACACGATCTGAGTACTTCTACTTTTACTCAAGTACACAATCTGAGTACTTCTCCCACCTCTGCTTCTCGTCCACTAGTGTTGTTGCTTAAGTAAAAGTGTGGATGCTAGTCTTATACTTGTAACATAACTAATTTTATTTGAAAAAAATAAGGTTTGAGTCATTTTCTAACCACTGATTATAACTTAAATCTGTAAGTCTTGGTACAGGAATGAGAAGAATGCAGGGTCAGATGAAGGGTCAGATGAAGGAGCACATATCTTGGTATTTGAAATTATCCCTGGTGGTTTTATGACTTGAAACAAGCCTTCAGTGTGGCACTAAAATGTTCTCTTGACTGCATTCCCAATGCCAGATTAAAAAGTAACGTGCTGCTTCATTCCCATGGCAGCGGGACAGACTGTAGCTCCGTCTCAAAAAGATATACATGACCTGACGGGGGGTTCACTGACTTCATGGAGATTGAGCAGGGCACAGTAGTGGAAGAAGTAGAAAATACATATTTGGCTATAGTATAAATAGCTAAACATCAGTATTCACATACTCTATTGCAACTATAAGACCGTATACATTTGTATGTATTCAAGTGAAACTACTAGTAGCTGCAAAAATAAGTACTCATGCTAAATGCTCCTCTCAGTTCATTTTATTTACATTATATTATTGAACAGTTACTATTCTACACAAGTTGATTATACTGATGCATTTTCATGTAAGCAGAGTTTAATCATGTCAAATGGGAGCTTAGACAACTTCATACAAGTGTTCGATAGTTACATCTTTACCAGTGCATTATATCTTCTTAGGAAATCATTTGTGTTACAAGTTGACCTAAAATGTATTGGAGTCACTACAGTACAAGTGGAGTCAGCACAACATTTCTCTCTCAAATATAGCAGGTTATCATCAAATTCAAATGCATAGATAACACCAGTACCTCACAATTGAACTTAACTTGAGTAAATGTAATTAGAAGGAGCTCTGCTTGAATATGGGTTGTAGGTTTTGAACGACAGGTATACCAACTTTTATGCGATAGCGCCTCTTGTGTAGTGTCTTTCCATAAGTTCCAGATACAAAATGCACTATATAGAGTGAGACACTGTTCAATTCTGAGACAATTCTCATACTGTCCTCTTATCTGAGTATTGTTGCTGCTGGTAGCCTCATGCTGGCCCCTGGGGTGAGATGAGTGTGGTGTGGGGGGTGAGATGAGTGTGATGTGGGGTGTTTGCATTTTTATGGCCAGGCTGTGGAGAACCAGAAACTTCATGTCCCTCCGATGGCTGCTCCAACCCAGCGGCCCGGAGCGACAGCAGGCAGAGCAGCTGCCCCACTGAGGGGGATCTGAGGGGGATAGCCCACCACGTTCTGCCCCTACAACGCAATAATCTGAGCACTGTTGAAGAAAACATCATCTAGATTATGTGCTACTTTTCATATTTTCTGTCATGTATAGGTGGCCTAACATTTGCAAACTAAGATATTCAATATGAGAAGCCAGGGTATTTCTTTACACAGTGGAGCTATTCAACTCTTATGATGACTGATATTGACTTGACAAAAATGCAAAACAGAATTGGAGCCTGTATGCAAATTTTCTTGCAATGCTAGGGAAATGCAGATGTTATAGCAGCAACAGAATAAGAGAGATAGTCAAAATGAGAATACAATACACACAAGGTTAATAAGATTTCAAAAAGAAAAATAAACATGGAGTAACAGTATGAATAGAAATAACAAAAATAACACGAGTTTAACTCTGAACAGGTGGATGTACATAATACTTTATACAGATGTGCTTCTTTTGATATTTTCTGTCATGTATAGGTGGCTTTATCCTAACATTTGCAAACTAAGATATTCAATATGAAAAGTCATGGTAATGCTGTACACAGTAGAGCTATTCAACTCTTATGATGACTGATATTGACTTGACAAAATGCAAAACAGAATTGGAGCCTGTATGCAAATTGTCTTTGGTGGTAGTAGCACTGTCACACCAGTATGTGGCAATGCTAGTATATAACCAGGAGATGGAGAACTCACTGTAAACAGCTTCCTGTAAACTGAGCTTGTTTTTGATTTACCCTCCTCACATGCTCAGAGCAGCTCCTGAACAAACATGTTTTACTCCCTGAATACTCAGACTCTTCTGGAAGCTACATGGTTTTATGGAGCTGTGGCTCATTGCAGAGAATAAATCAAGATGTATTTTAGTAGATGATGCTTGGATTTCTACATTATCTTTGGAAATCTTCGTGGGTCTAGACTCAAATATATCAGCAAATACCCAATGGTTTATTATGAGGCCCCCAGAGGATGAACCCTTTTGTATTAAAGGTCCCCTATTGTACTGTTTTTCATCAATATATTATAGGTCTCAGATATATACAAAACATGTCTCTGAAGTGTTTGGCTCCAAACACCAAACGGATCATTGCAGCGTCCCATAATCCCCTCTGTTTCAGCCCTGTTTCAAAAGTGCTGATTCTCTGTCTGTTACTTTAGATGAAAATAAGGAGCCCCTCCCCACGCCCCTCTGAGAGATATTTGGTTAAAAAGAACACTATGGTGCTCTCGGAGGAGATTCAGGTGATAAGGTGGGGGGGTGTTACCTTGGTTGCTGATTGGCTAATGGTTACACAAGCCAAAACATCGTTATGACATCATAAAGTGGCCAAAATCTGATCAGCTCATTTTCAGACAGGTTTTTTTATATAAATGGATCAGGACAAAAAGTGAGAGAATCTTTTTTCCTGAAACTTTCAGAATCTCTTTACACAGAGGGGACACATGTTGATGTATAAAAGACATGAAGAAGTGGATTTTGCGTAATAGGTGACCTTTAAGAGATCCCCTGATCAAGTGCCACCATGAGGTTAATGTTTTTTGTGTGAAATATCCATCAGATGGATTGCCATACATTTTGGTTTTTACATTCATTTCCCCCAAAGGATTTAAAAATATTTTGCAGACCCCCATACATTTTAATCTAGGGAAATACTCAGTTCAATATTTTTGACCAACACTTTGGTTTAAACCCAAATAGTTCACCTGATGACTAAAATAAGGTAAATGACATTCGCATCAGTCTCAGCTGTAATTTGTGTTTGGTTCTGAATGCAAATGCTAGCATGCTTACTTAACCAAGACGCTAGCATTTCACTTATCTCCTGGATGTTTTAACTCTGCTTTAGTAGGTGAAATTAGTCACAGTTTCTATTAACACAGGGTGTCCGCGGGGTCTTAAAAAGTATTACAAGTTGATCAATCAATTTAGCGAAAATGAAGGCTATTAAAAAGTATTAAACGGCATTTTCCAAGGTATTACATTTGGTAGCTTGTTTTCAATAAGTATATAAATTGTCCAAAGAGGTTGTATTCTACAGTCTGCCTGAATGTAATCATTGCGTAGGTGTGTAGTGTGATTCTGTGTAGTTTATTTATGGCATCCCGTTGGATTTGACGTCACCTGAACAGGACATCGCACGCTCACTGCTTGATAGCGCGCGAAGGTCCGTTTACGCCGGTTGTTAAACAACATCGTTATGGGGAAATGCAAGTCTGCGTCCAAATGGTTGGAAGATAAGGAGGAAGGACAATCAATACTGTATATAGTCAATGTGAGGTCAAGTGTGTCGCCAATGTAACCGGTTAAAACTCCAAGTGGCGATGAGGTCTTAAAATGTATGGAAAGGGTCTTAAAAAGGTCTTTAAAGGTATTACATTTGACTTCAGGATTCCTGAATATACCCTGTAACAGCACTTCTCATAATTTGCTTGTCTACCAATAAATAGTAACATGGCTCCTAAATACAGGAATAGACCATTTCAGGGAATATAAAATAACATCACCTCCCTCCCTCCCTTCAGGATGTTACTAAAGTCCTCTGACTAACAGCATTTTATTCCCCTGAGTCTTTTTGTCCTGAACATATACCTGCTGGTCATGAGTTTATCCCAGTTTATACTGATATAGTCAAGATGAAACGGGCCAAAGGGTCCCTTTTCCCCTTATAGCTGTGTATGTCATATGCTGTCTGTCACACTGATCTCTCTGTCCTCGTCTCTCATAGCAGGGAGATTGTTTCCACACCTCGACTATTTCCCTCCCTCTCATCTCCCCTCTCTTCTTCATCCAAGAGCATAAATCTCTGCACGCTATTCTTGTGTCTGGCTGGTCAACACATCGATTGTAAGTTGCTCAATACTTGCGACTGTTGGAGCGTTTACATCTGGGTGATAATGTGCTGGAAAAGATAACTGCTTAAACATGAAGATGGAGACCAGATGTTATAATTATTGCTCCACTCGTTCAGTCTTTGTTACAGAGGCCAGTGGGAGTAAGACATTGAATACATGACTGAATGAAAGGGTACTATGTAGGGAAATGTCATTACCCCCTCCCACGTACGTTTAAAGCAATCACTTACACAGAAGTTAGTTGTTTTCCCAGGGTTGTGAGGCCTGTCTGCCCTTCAGGAGAGCAGAAATATCCCTCACAGAGCTGCGGTATCTGCACTGTACACTGCTGCATTGTTGAACCCATGTGAGCAATGTGTGCTGAGTTCTTTGGGCAGAGGACAGGAGCTTTATTACAACCTTTAAACTAATCTCTGTAAGGAGATACCTGTGTATTTTAGGAAAAGAATGATCATCTCCAATAATAATCCAAGATGAGCCTTTGATGCAGGTTGATACTAAGGCAGTGGGAACTTGTGTCTTGTTTGTTCAAGTGTTTTTGTTGATTCTTCTACTGTATGTTATATTTACCATCTGCGACAGCGTGTGTCTGCTATTCTTTTCAGCTTGTGAGTCAGTGTGTTTGTCATTATGGTGTGTATACTGTATTTACTTGCATTTAGGCTCATTTGCAAGTCTTTTGCCTTAAATATACATATCTTACTGGATTTAAATATGTGCAAATATGGCAGGAACCACTATTTGCTTGGCTGCGCAGTTACGGCCCGTCCACACAGCAGCGTTAAAAAATCTTCCAACGCTTCTGCCCATTCACTTTGAATGGGGTGACGTCACTTTGCCTCACTTTTCGCCGAACTGCATTGTGGGAAGCAGAGCGGAGATTTTCAGGATTTTCAGGATTCAAAGTTGAGCAATGTTCAACTTTTGAAGCTGAGGTGGAAGCGTCAGCCAATCAAATCCCGTGTATGCAAATCTGACAGTTCAAGCGCTAGCCAATCAAACCGCGTGTATGCTGGGAGAGACATACCGCAGGTCATTTCCTCATATTCCAAAAAATGGAGGAGAAATTAGCGGTAGGGAATCACCCGGTGCTTTATGACCAGTCCCTATTTACCTACCGGGATACAAACCGGAGGAGCCAGGCATGGAGGGAGGTGGCAGAGACAGTGGTAGGTTTTCGCCTGTTTGGGGAGTTTATATCCAGTTTACTTCGGGCTTTTTTGCTTCGTATGTCGGGGGCGGGAGATTCATGTGATTGGTTGTTGGTGCCTTGCTCGCAAAAAATCCCCAAGCTTCAGATACGCCCACCTCCAAGATTTTTTTAACGCTGCTGTGTGGACGGGCCGTAAGTGTTTCATTTCAATCTTGCTCGGTGCTTTGACAATTACTTGGAGGGATGAGCAGTAAATTGATATTAAATCAATATTGTGATCTGAGGCTAGATATCATAATATGGCATGATTGTTGTCTTTCCCTGGTTTTTAAGACGATATAACAGTTAATGTGTGTATGTATGTAATGTATGTCATTTGGGAGAAACCAGCTTGAGTGCGCTAGAATTTGAAAGTACACAACCAGAACAAATCTGCCTCTTCCTTACAGAGCCCCTCCTCCAACACACACGAACGCGCACATGACCAATGAGGGCACGAGATAAGTTTGTGCACAGATGGAAGGCTGACAGGCAGGTAGGCCATCCAGTTATTTTAGCCGGGCCGGCTAAAATGATTGGTCGTGCTTTTTACAGCGCTACGGCTTCCACAGATGATTTTTTTTTAATGTATTTATTGTCAAAGCATTTAATTTATTCATTGCTATCGGGATGTTAAGAGCATTCCATGGAATATAACAAAAAGTGTTTCTGAAATAAATTACATACCCCACCTTTAAGTAATGTCATTTTCTGAACTGTTGTAGTCATTATATCCATATTAGCTATGATTATTTCTTAACATTTTCAAAAATTGTAGTGATATATGTGAAAGCATCAATGGTTAACCCTACAACATCGTCACAATATCAATATTGACTTATTTGATAAAAGTGATTTTTATATTCGATTTTCTCCATATTACCCAACTCTAATTACGTAGTTAGTTTTTGTCTTATTGTTTAAAGTTTAGCTTCCACAAAAGCCATCCTTTTGTGAATTCAACCCAGAAGCATGTAGCCAACTTAAAGTGGACCTATATTTGAATAATATAGTGTAGGACCATACCTATATAAGGCATATTTATACTTTTTTTTTTTCAAAATACCAAACAGATCATGCATTTTAGCCATGCCTCATTTTGCTCAATTTGAAAATGTTTAGCTCTGTTTTTGCAAGGGCTGATTCTGTGAGAACAGCACCATCTACAGGCCTGGCATATGTACTACAGCGTCTCCAGCGCTTTCGAACGGCAATGGCCGTGGCTGTCTCCTCCTGATTGGTGGAGTTGGCCCAATAGCCGTAGCGCCACCGTCCTGACGTCAGGACAGTGTTCAAATCTGGATCAGTTTTTATCAGATCCGTTGCAGACCCTTTTTTAGAGATTTGGGTATGGAGGAAAATAGAGAGGGTTGTGTTTTCTGACACTTGGTGAGTTCCCTGGAACACCGGGGACACATATTCATGTATAAAAGACGTACAAAAGTGCATTTTGCATGATAGGTCCCCTTTAATGTAAATATATGACTTAATTTGAATAGTTTCTAAACACCTTATCTTAATAATAATAACTTAGATTTATATAGTGGCTTTCAGGGGACACAAGTTCGCTTTACAGAAAAACAGCAGTAAACAAAAAACAGTCAGACAAACAAAACAACAAATAAACTAGGGGCCGAATCAGAGTCCAGTTGTAACCGTGTTTGTCAGCTGTGGTCGGAGCAGCTCCTCTCCACTGAGTGTTCTTGGGTAACCTGACGGAATATTGTGACACGAAGCTTTTTGTTTTGTTGCGTTGCTCAGCTGGCTCCTCTCACTTACTTAAGTGACCACAGAGACATACCAGTGGGGGGGGGGGGGGGGGGTTACACTCACAGCCTCCAGCATGTTAGGTGTTCTCCCCAAATCACCTCCCACTCCTGCCTAGAAATGGACACTGCCGGTGTATTTATAGCCCCTGAGCACAAGCGAGCTCTGTATCTAAAACACGGTGAGATTCAGATCCAGAGTCGCGCTGAGCTTCGCTGTCGTAGTTTCTAGACTGGTGTACCAAACGTGCCTGGAGGGGCTCATCAGGTAGGGGAAATAACCCGATTTAGGGTTTATTTATTCAGAAGTTCTTAATGTGTTTCAGTCAGTAGGCTGTTACGTTGCCTACCACATGTTTGGTTGTATACATTCTTAAAGTAACCACTGAAGGAAATGAGGTTGTAGAAATGTAAATTCTCTGTTTTTGATCTTTGTTTTTTATACTGATACTTAATGATTAGTTGTTGAACATTATAATAACTATTTCTCTATTCCCTTACCATTAAAGACCACTGTGTATACATTTGTGTTTGACTTGTATAGCTTACATGGTGTAAGTGCTGCCACTATCTGACAGTTAAGTCAATCGTCAAGGGTCGGAAAAGTAATCGTCAACTGCTTTGATAATCCTTAAATCCTTTGTACATTATTTTTAAGTAACAATGACAAAAATCCAGACTTCCAGTTCCTCAATTGTGAGGATTTGCTGTTTTTCTTGGTCTTAAGTTTGGGTTTTTGACGTTTTCTTGTAATAACAAGTAATTTGAGAACTCGTCCTTTTCGAAAATGATGCGTTTTTTTCCCAAATGTTTTGATATTACGTAGACGAATCATCAGCATATTTATCGATACAGAAAGTATTGTCCTACATGGTGTGTAACATAGAGTGGTATGTCATTTGTTGGGCTGCAATTTGATGTACTGTATCTGGTGTTTATCTGTTTTTAGATTAAATCATCATTCTGACCACAACCACCAGAGACTGAGACACCAGAGAGAGGAGCGATGGAGAAGCCAGCGTTGCAGACCCAACCGTCCACCCTTCCTTTTTTCGACACGTCCCACGCCTTCAACCTGCTGCGGGGGATCCATGAACTCCGTGCAGAGCGAAAGTTTTTCGATGTGACTTTGTGTGCTGAGGGCCGCGAGTTCCACTGCCACCGCACAGTGTTGGCCGCCGCCAGCACTTACTTCAGAGCGATGTTCGCAGGAACTCTGAAGGAGAGCGCTATGGACCGAGTCGTTCTTCACGAGGTGTCAGCGGAGCTCTTAGGTCTTCTGGTGGACTTCTGCTACACGGGGAGGGTCACCGTCACTCAGGATAACGTGGACGTCCTGCTGAAGACGGCCGACCTGTTTCAGTTCCCCTCGGTCAAAGACGCCTGCTGTGCGTTCCTGGAGCAGCGGCTGGACGTCACCAACTGCTTAGACATCCAGGACTTTGCCGAGGCGTTCGCCTGCAGAGAGTTGGCCACCAGCGCTCGCCGCTTTGGCCTCAAAAACATAATGGAGCTGGCCAAAGGGCTGGACTTTGAGCGGTTGCCTTGGAAGCGCCTCCTGGAGTTTATGTCGGATGATGAGCTTTGCGTGAACAAGGAGGAGGCGGTGTATCAGATCGCGGTGCACTGGGTGAAGGCCGACATGAAGCGGAGGCTGCACTACTGGCCCGAGCTGCTCCAGCAGATCCGCCTGCCCTTCGTCCGGAGGTTCTTCCTGCTGGCCCACGTGGAGAGCGACCCGCTGGTCTACCTGTCGCCCACCTGCCTGCGCATGGTGAACGAGGCTCGCAGCTTCCAGTCCTGCGAGTACGACCGCCACGACCGGCCCTGCCACAGGATGCGACCGCGGGCGTCCACGGGGCTCGCAGAGATCCTGGTGGTGGTGGGGGGGTGCGACCAGGACTGTGACGAGCTGGTCACGGTGGACTGCTACAACCCTCAGACCGGACAGTGGAGGTACCTGGCGGAGTTCCCCGACCACCTGGGAGGAGGCTACAGCATAGCAGCCCTCGGAAACGATATGTATGTCACAGGTGAGTCATCCAAACACCTTTCTTTTAGGACTGCATTCACCATTATCGTAATCCCATTATGAACAAGTGCAATACTCAAATCCGAGGGAGCACAATATATATGTTAAAGGTTAAATGTGTGTAAAAATACAATTTTGAATGGAGCTGCAGAGATATGCCGCCCGACAAGTCTTTCATTTTCTACAGACTTAAGAAAACACATTTGTTTGGTACATATCCTTATTGAGGAAATCCATATAGATTACAGAGAATCTACAGACTGTATATGTACAGTAGCACAGATGATAATGTACTCCATCTTTTACTTAGATTTCTTTATCTGGTGTCCCAATTCCAAAAGAACAGTCCACAGACAGCCTGCAGTGGAAACAGAGTGTGTGTGTCAGAGTCGCTGTAGCGTGAACGCTGTAGATTTCCATCTCCGCTCCTTCATCTCATGAAATGGCCGTTGGGCTTATAAATAAACTGCAGGCTCTTTGGCTAGTGGGTCTCTGCGTCTGTGTGAACAAAGTAAAGGTAAGGCAGCAGGACACGGTGAGCTGCCAGGACAGCAGTACGGTTAATATCTTCATCATCTTCATCGTTGAGGGATAACCCTAGACTTTCAATCAGGGATATGTCTCCTGTTTAAAACTAAGATAACACTGTAAGCTCAGTTCTTTGATAACACCACACATGGTTGCATAGCATTATTCTATTCTATTGTATTATATATAATAGGTTTATATGTCAAATATGAAGGTACATCAGGCTTTTTTTTTAGGTTTCAAGTTTTGAGATGATACCTAGAGTAGATGCCCATTTACTGTACTTGGATATTTCTGTTTTCAGTCATTGAACTTGACTTTGAGTCGTTGAATTGCATATTACTTTAACATTTGATAAATTAAGGAACTCCTCAAAAAAAAGTTTGGAAACGTTATTTCGGTCGATTATTCCTCCCCTTTAATAATACCAATTGGTATTGTATTTTATATCGTTGGAAAGCCTGATTAGTCACCTTTACAACGAGGTACAACTTGTAAGGATCGTGCATTCGTGGAATGAGCAACACATCTAACCGTGTGGGTAGCGGCCCAAATATAATTTGCCAAAATCCCCTGCAATATTCTTCTGTTGGTATTCACTCTGGTTTTGAGATGCTTGTTGGATTGGATGATTGCACTCTCCCACAGTAATAAGGACAAAACAACACATATTGGCCATTTTTACACTTGATTCATTTTACACTGTCAGGGACCTCAGTAGCGTGTAGAACAGGGGTGGGCAAACTTTTTGGCTCGGGGGCCACTATGAGTTTTAAAATTTGATAGACGGGCCGGGCCAGTAGCAGATCGGTAAAAAAATATTTAGCTGTCCACTCCTCATTATACACTCGGCACTCAATGTTGACTTTTCTTTTCTTTGGTCCACTCATTGTTACAGATGCAGGTTCAAAGGTGAATTATTGCGTCATTGCGTCATTGTTTGTGTCATTGCGTAACCGTTTACGTGCCTTCTTATGACCCACACGGCGTTTTACGTCGCTGATTTTCTCGCAACACCGCTCACAACAACATCAATAGAGGACTGCGTCGGGTAGTTTTTAATTATACGAAGCCAGATTAAATTAAAGAACTACTTCTCCAACCTTGTACCTTTCTCCAGAGTGCCGTGGTGCATTGTTTATTAATGTGGTTCAGCTGCATTACTGCCCGCTGCAGTGCTGCTCGTCTACCGGAGTTTATTCTCCCGTTAACTCGCGGCAGCGGCCGCTGTAAAGTTTTCATTGTCTGACTGTCACACAAGCAGCTGATAAATATCCCCCATCCCCATCAGTGAATGTGTTTTAGTCTGAACGCTGTTTGGCATCACAACGCTGTTATGAACGTTTCTCTGGCATTCTACAGGTGATGGTAGCTAATCAGACTATCTTGAGTCTTGACTACTTGTTGCTGTCATATTGTGGCATAAGCCGTTTTCTACACGCATATTTTACCGGCGTAGTTTTCGTTATGATTTTACTTGTGATGGCCACATGTAGCCCATGTATTGATTCCATCCGATAGCTGCAATAATACAAAACAACAGGAAAACGTCTGCCTCTTCACAATGGTCAATAACAGTGAACGGATGGTTATTAAAGTAAGGTAAAATAAACAGAATCACACTAAGCCTGGTTAGTGTTGCCTGACTTTATATAAGTGTTTTTATAAGTGTGTGGTCGCGTTCTAGTCACTTTGCTCAGCGCTACTGCTTGTTACAACGTGTATTCGCCGTACTCGCCATGAACTGTTATTGCTCAGGTTAATCTCGACCCCCTCCAATGTAAGCGTGACGTATTTGGTTCTTGGATCTTGCCCGGTTGCCGAGTGGGGCCAGCTGAGAGAATAGACCAGACTCCAGCAAAGGTAAATTGTGTCTAGAGTGCGCCATCTAGTGGGATCAACTGAAATGCCGGGTATTGCAGGAAAAAGGCAAAATGAATGCGGTCTTTACTATAATTTGCACAATTTTGTACCAATATTCGGCGGGCCGGATTCAAAAGCCCAACGGGCCGTATATGGCCCGCGGGCCTTTGTTTGCCCATGCCTGGTGTAGAAGATCCATACGCAGCCACAACAGCTTGGCACCTCCTCCTCATGCTGGTCACACACTGGCATCCCATTCCTCAACCAGGATTTGTCGCAAGTCAGCCAACATGGTTGCGTTGGTCACTCTGGCACGTACAGCACGCCCAAGCTGATCCCACAAGTGTTCAATTGGGTTGAGGTCTGGAATCACGGCAGGCCATTCCGTCCTCTCCACTCCCAAATTCTGGAGGTACTCTGTGATGATCCTGGCTCTGTGGGGGCGAGCGTTGTCATCCTGGAGGATGGAGTTAGGTCCCAGATTCTGGAGATATGGGATCGCCACTGGCTCCAGAATGTCATTCCGATATCTCACTGCATTGAGATTGCCTTCAATGATGACACGTTCTGTTTTGCCTGTGAGAGAGATGTGAGATGACGTTCCCCCACATTCTTAGGTTCCACTGTCGGTGCTGTCGACACCAGCGCAAACGGGCCTGATGGTGAAGGGCAGTCATTGCAGGCTTCCTGGTAGCCTTATAAGCACGAAGACCGGCCATGTGCAGTCTGTTCCTCACCGTCTGATCAGAGATCTGTCTGTGGTACCGTTGTGCAAATCTTGCCTGTAATCAGGTGTCAGTCACACACCTGTGACTGGCATACACCTGCCAGCACTTGAAGCTCAAAACGAGAGTGAATACCAACAGAAGAATATTGCAATATAGCATTCCACGAATGCACGATCCTTACAAGTTGTACCTCGTTGTAAAGGTGACTTATCAGGCTTTGCAACGATATACAATACAATACCAATTGGTATTATTAAACGGGAGGAATAATCGACCGAAATAACGTTTCCAAACTTTTTTTGAGGAGTTTATTTCATTTAAGTTTGTATTAAACAGGTTTTTTTGGTTTCATTTAATGCATGCAGGCAAATAGTGGGACACCGCTTATTGGACTTAACATTTCGATCATTTCTGGGGATTTTACATTTGCTATTATATGTATAATATGGAGATTTATACAAATATTGTAAAAAATATCCATAATAATATTGTGATTTCAAACATGTCGCCCAACCCTAATGTTTATTCAGAAGGAGTAGAAGGGTCTTACATTTCCTGTTGAGGGGATTTAATTTGTATTCAAATGCCCAGAGGAAAGCAGACACAGCCTTGCATCCTATTACCTGGGGGAATGGGAATAATCTGCTTTTCCCTTTGCCGTATTATATCATTTGCATCTTTGATGCACCATGAAAAGTGACACAAGTGATAAATCCCCTGGTGCATATTAACCATGTCCGTAAAATGTGAACAAACCAAATATGAATAAATATATTAAGTGTTGGGGAATAATTTGCTTAGGTATTCAACCTTTGACACAGTTCATCATTTTCTCCTTTCTCTTGGCATAGGGGTACGGCCTTGGGTATTGCTGCTATCTCTCTTAAGGCTTGGGCGCATTGTTGTTGCCAGCTTATGACCGAGCACAAGCTGACATGAGATAGTTTATTGTTCAGGGACATCTAGAGGCCCTTCTTTTATCTGGAACGTAGGTTCGCTGGCGCACATTCTTTTCTATGGACGAGAGCTCTAGTTAGATTCAGGGTCTCGCTGATGAAGAATGTTGATTTATTACACTCTGAACTAGTTCAAACCTGGAGCAACAGGAGGGTTCTTCAGAATTGATTGTGGCATCTCAACCGTGTGGTCAACTCGTGGCCCGTGACATGTCTTGTGAATTCTCCGGCCGAAGCTCCAAATAAATGTTTGCCATCAAAGCTCCAGCTCTCCATCGTGTCTCTCGTTGAGTCCTGACTCCAATTGCTTCAGAAGTGTCCCCCACATTAAGGATCCGTTAGCATGTGTTGCTTTAGAAAACCTAGAATACATTACTAAAGGAAAGCTGGCAGTTTTCATGCAGTTTTTGAAACAGTTGGTAATGATCAATAAAACCAAAGACCGGGGGGGGGGGGGTAGCCCACGTCATATTCTTTCATATTTCTTGATTATTTCTGTACTTTGTTATCCCTGTATCATCTGTATGATGACCTGTGTTTATTTACATGCCTATTCATTTGATTGTACACTGTATCTGCCACCTCGACCGACCGTTTTATGTATGTGTAATGTTCGTTATATTTGAGAACTTTAGGGCTACCCTCGTCTAAAGATTTTTCTAGTCGTCAAATAAGGCGATTAGTCGACTAATCGTCGCACGTTTATGATACATTATGATTATACATATTTTTTTTTTTTTCTCCCAAAATGGTTTCAGTTTCAAAGACTGATAAAGAGCGTTATTATAACAGCATGGTACGTTGTGCTTCACATAACATATAAAATAAAACTGTAATAATGAACCTTTGAAATATAAATTGTAGGATTTGGAATAATCTGCTTCTTTCCTTTGCCGTATAATATTATACTACTCTAGCTGTCAGACTCTGATCAACAACCCCCCCCCACCCCACACTTTACTCGCACTTGGATTAGGACTACTGTTTATGTTTTCTTTGTACTGTTTCTGATTTGATGTAAAGCATCTTTGAGCATTAGGAAAAGCGCTATAAAAATCCAATGTATTATTATTATTAGAATCTTTTATGCACCATGACGCAGCAGAAAATGAGGAATCCCCGGCGCATATTAACCATGTCCGTGTCCTCCAGGCGGCTCTGATGGCTCGCGCCTCTACGACGGCGTGTGGCGCTACAAGTCGAGCGTGAACGAGTGGACGGAGGCGGCGCCCATGCTGAAGCCGAGGGAGTACCACAGCTCGGTGGTGGTGAAGGGCCAGCTGTACGTGGTGGCGTCCGACAGCACGGAGCGCTACGACCACGCTCTGGACTGCTGGGAGGCCCTGCCCCCCATGCTGCACCCCATGGACAACTGCTCCACCACCACCTGCAGCGGGCGGCTGTACGCCATCGGCTCGCTCACCGGGGACGAGTCCATGGCCATCCAGAGCTACGACGCTGAGTCCAACCGATGGAATCTGGTCAGCTGCGGACAGATGCCCCCCTGGTCCTTCACTCCCAAAACTGTGACGCTCAAAAGCCTCATCTACTTCATCAGGTGAGGAGAGAAGTGTTCAGTTACACGTTTAAACTCAGTAGGTTCAGAGTAACCTATTGTTATTTGAAGTGTTCATGGGAGGATACATGCGTTGTCTCCTCTTTAAAACTGTAGACCAGATATTGATAATCACGAATGATCGAAGTTTATTTATTCCAGGACAGATCTAAATACATTTGTGCTGCTTCTTCTTCACCGATCAATTTGATTACTTTTGTTACCAGTCACTTTATTACCAAGAAGATTAAACAAAAACAACATCCATAAACTAATAAATCAGCTAAGTGTGAAACTGCTAAAGATGAAAATAGTTGTTTGTTGATTTAAATTGTTTCCTTTTAACATTATTATATTCGCACTTTAGTTACGTTAAGGCTCTGAGTACTTTCACTTCTCGTAAATGCTTTATAATAAAGGCATGTGGACTATATTAACTATTAAACACTCATTCTGGTGTTCTACCACATGGGTGCGCTAACTGCCCAGTTTCGCGCTGTGAGAAATGACAAAAAAAAAGCTTATTAAAATAGAAGATGTGGTGATTTGTTAAATACAAAATGACCGTACAAAATATCCTACTCATGTTATAGAAGTGACAATTCAAAGGCTCTGAGTAAAAAAACTGTTAAATTATTACTCCATCTCACTAACATGAAGTATACTATTTTGAGAATAGGGGACATAATGTAAAAGTCCAGAAAGAAACATTGGCTCATAATAAATAGTTGTTGCGATCCTCAGTGAAGTTAGCGTGTGTCTACATCTGAGTAATGACTGCTCTGACCATGGTGTGTTTCTATTTGCAGGGATGACTCGGCCGAGGTGGATGTTTATAATCCTCAAAAGAACGAGTGGGACAAAATTAGTCCGATGACCCAGGTTTGTATTTCACATTCGACCCTAGCATGCTTTAAAACTAACCAGTTAGCTCTCTAATAGCTCTGACCCATAATCAGGGGTCAACAACACTGCAGTCAATTCAAATATGATCATAAATACATGAACGACTGCAGTTTGTCACGGTTTTATTTAGCTTTCTAAATACAGTACGGCCTTCTGAATCTCTATTATTACTTCGAAGCTTTGTTAATGTAAAATATGACTTATAACTGCCCCTTACAATATAACATGAACCTATTAGCCCCAAAGTTGACACAAGGCAGTCAAATGTGATCATATGATTCAATGGAATTTTATTCAATTTTATTCCATTCTATTTCTATGTAGATACTGCTATATTTTACTATATTCTTTATATTCTTCAATGTTATTTTTTATGTATGCACCATGACACCAAGTCAAATTCCTCGTACGTGTAAACCTACCTGGTAATAAACCTGTTTCTGATTCTGATTCTGAATATGTGACCCGCTCTATTGAAATCAGTCGGATTCAAAATAAACGTGGATTTGCGTACAAAACTAGTTTTTCGGGGTTCGGGTGTTTTGTTTGATTTTAAATAAACAAAGTCTTGGCTTTCAGAATATGAAACTTTTATTTCCAAAATCACACGATAAATACATTTTTGAAGCTTGTGAAGGGAAGATGACAGGCACCTCTCGCTCGCAATCTGCTGTTCCTCAGCGCAGCCCCCCCTCCCTCCGGCTGAAATTATGAATGTAAGGCGTATAGTAATCCTAGATAACACGGCAGGGTCCGTTACAGTTTGTTTTCATCTGATTTCAATTAAACAAAGTCTTGGCTTTCAGAATATGAAACTTGTTTCGGCAAATTCAGATGATAAATACAACTTTGAAGCTTGTAACGGCATAATTACAAGCGGAGAACGGAGTAACTTAACGTCACAGCAGGCGTAACAACAGCCGGTGTTTCTCGTGAGTGTTTTCCCCGGGAAACAAACACAATACACACAAATGCAAAATTACACACACACACACACACACATATACACACACACACACACTCGCGAGCTTCCCCCAGACCAGTAATCCAAACGAAAATATCTTCCCTCCGTAGTATTTTGATCATTTGCTCCGCTAATAATCAATCAGATCGATGGATTCCAGAGAAGAGGAAACTTTGAAGGCCTTTTTCTCAAAATGATGACTCGGTGACAGTCATTATATAATGTGACATATTTTGCTTAATATTTGAAGTACAACAACAATCCTGATATCATTAGAAAGCTAGGAATCTCCTCTTTCCAACAATGTATACAACTCAAAATGTGTCTTCGGGTCAATGCGACTGATTTCGATGGAGCAGGTCACATATGCTCAATAAATAGACAAATGATACTTGTAGTTGAATTATTAAAATGGAGAAAATAATAATGAATTTTTTTAAAGATATTGAAAGAAATATTTTCCTACCACAAATCATTTGTTAAAATCTTAATTTATTTAGACTTTTTTCTTTTTTACATTTCAACTTTTTAGTTTTAGATTGTATTTGAATTATACATGTATTATAACATTTCCATATGATAATGAGATGTGTCTATTCATGTCCTGTACAGTGATTATTAGACAGCTTGTGTGTGTTTTAATGGAAAATGATAAAGCTTCATTTTGGGGCTCCATATATAAAGAAATACATGTATTATATATTTATGAATTAAATGACTAAATCTAGCATATTTGTTGGGGCTCCGTTTAATTCAACATGAGGCCCATTTTATTTTTCTCAATCTTGTGTCTTTCATCCAGGTCCATGTAGGAGGCAGTGTGTCGGCGCTGGGCGGTAAACTGTACGTCTCCGGGGGTTACGACAACACGTTCGAGCTGTCGGACGTGGTGGAGACGTTCGACCCGACGACGCGCTGCTGGACCCCGGCCGGGCGCCTGCCGCAGCCCACCTTCTGGCACGGCAGCGTCAGCATCTTCCGACAGTTCATGCCGCAGGTCAGCAGCGCGTTCGCACCCGCCGAAATCCCCGAGTCGAACGCCATCCACCTGCACCGGCACCACCGGCACCTAGCGCTCCAAAACCTCAACAACAATCTCAACCAGAACCAGATCCAGGACGTGAACCCAGCGCACTGATCGGACCCAGACCCCTGTTACATTTAAAGACTGATCCCCCCTCATGTAGCAGCGCTGTGGGGTTTCTTAGACTTGTTTTGTCTCACTACGTTGATACAAAAGTACTGTTGGCAGTTGCATTGTGGGGAATGTAGGCAACACATTTGAGGGTAGAAGGAAATCTTCAATGCTAAACCAATGTTCTCCTTTTACAATTGGCCCGGAGCAAGAGCCAAATATTTGTTCAGAAACAGCAACGATCAGTTTACATTCCAAAAACGACAATCACAATTGATACGTATTACTAAACAGCCTTATGGCTTCAAATGAAGGGTTGAGATATATTGTACTCAGACATCTTTTGTCACTATTGTAGGATTTCAGGACGGCTGCATTGTTTGAATGAATTGTATCGGGTTGATATACCATTGAGTGATATTTAGACATCTCCTCCTGACCCTTGAACTAAGCTTTATAACCAGAAGTAGAATGTGCATGAAGAATTTTATTTAAGATTTGTATTTTTTTGTGGTTTTGTATTCATGGATATATTTGTGCTGTGGTTGCTTAGATGTCCCCGCCTATCAGTTGCAACAAGAAAAGTAACGCGTTAGTGATGGGTGGTCGGTAACTGGAAGTGCAAAAGAATCTCAATTTGTTCTCATGCAGTTTAGTTTCATGTTTTTATGGTTTTGTTTTCACACAAGTTTGTGAATCACTTTTGTAAATACAGTATATTCCTAACCTAGCGTACTGTGTTTGTAAAATGTTTACAATGTGGTTAGCATAAATTGAACTGCAGACAGGAGAGTTCATTAGCCCAGTCACATTCGATTAGCTGTTAGCATGTTGCTAATATATTTCTTATAAACAGTGGATAGTAGTTGCAGCTGAGTGGGACAATATTTTTATAAAATGCATTCACTTATAAAGCTGTGTATTTTAACATAAAACAATAACCTGTGTAGTGTCTTAATTCCAAATAATGTTGATATCGAAACAGAGCGCCACTGAAGAGCATTTATTACTGATTTTAGCTGCAGTAGGCACATAGATGGAAGGAAGCAATATCATTTCACATTCAAGCAGCCTTTAAGCAAAAATAAAATCATGATAATTAGTAATGCTCTTCAGAAGAGCTCAGAAGTAGCTGACCATGTTCCAGTTCCATCTTTGGATCGGTAAATGTCCTTAAATCACATTTAATGTACAGTAAGTGCTTCTCATTAGGAAATGGTCTTCACAGTGACTTCAACTCTGCAGGTCTCCCTTGAAAAAGAGATCGTTGATCTCAATGGGATTTTTTAACCTGGTTAAATAAAGGCTACAAACAAACAAACTCTGAGGGGTATGTTCTCAAACGTTCTCTGTATTTATCGTGGACTCGAACGCCTCTGTGTCCAGCTGTGTTTGCTGCAACACTTCTGGCACAGAGAAGCTCTCCGCCACCCCGACATGTCCCAGGTTCTGATTGGACGCCTCCTCCATCACAGGGACGCTCGACTCCATCACCACCCCCACTACGAGAGCTCCTGGCTCTGGGTTTGTGGGTTCCTGGACGTCAGCGGTTGCCTCTGGGATGTAATTGGTCTTCCCGGCCATCAGAGAGTCCTCATCAGGACTTCCCTCCACGTCCTGCACCACCAGGTTCCTCAGCTTCCTCTGCCGGGGGTTGTAGTTCTCAGTGCGTTTGTGGATTTGAGTGTGCCGTCGCAAGTGTGCCTGGAAGGGCAAACGTGTAAAGGTCAAAATGTGTCAACAATTCAATAAGATCACCAAAGACCCCCTAGTTTTTTCTTTTCTTTTTTAATACTTTATTTTGAATTTTTCTTTTGGCTTATTTTTTATTAAACAATTTGCTACTTCCCTGTCCTTTGTAAACAGAACATTTTATAAACAGGGGGTATTAGACTGTTAGATGTACAAAATAAGCCATTTAAACATTATTTGTATTAAAGTTTTTGTTTTTCTTAGAAAGTAAACTAACAAAAATGTTCACTTTTTTTAATTAATAAATACATATATCAAATTATAATAGCATTGTACATTAAAACAGTTTCAAACTGCTTTTACCAGACATCCAGATAGCATGTTTTTGTTAGAAAAATATCTGAATTAATTAATAAAAATTGCAAAAACGGAAAAATATGACATAAAACTAAGTTGAATGGATAGATTTGAGTTCATTAGAAATTGTTGACAGGTCGTCTGTTCTAAAATAATATTTAATTTCTCTCCACGGCAGAGATGCTGTATTTGTTTACCAATTGTTAATAAATCAAGGGATTTTCTTTGATTCAGACAAACATCATACTTTTTTCACAACTGTCATTCCATTAACTAAAAATTCTTAAAGCAAAATTAGAGCAATATAGATTAGAGTATTTGTTTTTTTTTACTTTAAAGACCAAACACTTATCCTGCACAATGAACAACACCACACTTCCTTTTAACACATTCAGGAACACTCCCTAATTTAACACAAAGGCAACCGTCCCTTTCTATAGAAGAGTCTTTCAGAAAAGATTACCATGTGAATACCACCGGGGACAATCTATCCACACTGGCTCCATGACAGCAGCATAAGCCTCAGTGGCCCAATGGATAAGGCACTGGCCTCCTAAGCCAGGGATTGTGGGTTCGAGTCCCATCTGAGGTGGCAGCAGAGTGGCGCAGCGGAAGCGTGCTGGGCCCATAACCCAGAGGTCGATGGATCGAAACCATCCTCTGCTAATCATTTATGGTGAAACTAAATCAATAATCAGGACGTCAGCTCACCTGTCGAGTGAACTTGTAGCCGCAGTCAATGCACTCAAATTTCCTCATGCCCTTGTGGCGACGCAGGTGAACACGCAGCTGCTCCCTCGCTGTGTAAAAGGCCATAAATAACATTAAGTGACATTTCAAGGCTTTTCTCCTCAGGGTACAGGGTTTATTGATTTATAGGTTTTTTTTATGGCACCTTTGAAGGTCTTGCCACAGATTTGACAGCAGTGGGGTCGACCCTCCTCGTGTTTGCTGGCCTTGTGACGGACGAGCGCGCCTTTCTCTGTGAATCGCTGCTCACACACATCACAGCTGAACGGACGCTCACCAGTGTGTGTCCGCTGGTGTTTATCTAGACTGGCTGGGATTAGAAAGACAGATTCAAACATGAAACAAAAAATCTATTTAAATAAATGATTGTAGTGTGTTCAAGAAGACTGCTTTCTAATTATTAATATCTCTATTTTAATCTAATTCAGTGGTTTTTAAATGCATTACTCCCAATCTTTAATTTCTCTAAATCTCCGTAATCTGAAGAAATAACAATGATTGCAACATAATTTTTTTTTTAATGTGAACAGATTTTGTCAAACCTATGACACACATAATAGTTTTTAAAAGGACAATCATGCTCACAATGTTTGAACTACAAGTCTCATCGTTCTTTGGCTAAGGGGAGGTAAACAGGAAGTATGATGATGCAGGGGTTTCAGTGAGTTACACTGGGGCCTTGTACTTAACCTGTTAAGCCCCGAGCCTGTTTTTCAGGTTTCAGGCTCGAAAATGACATGCCCAAAACAAATGACTACAACTTCACTTCTAAAAGGGTTATATGAATAATTTCTTTTATCAAAGCAAGGCTACATCTGTGAGTTGGATGTAGAAGTGTCAGAATCAATATAGATTGTTCTCAGTCAGAGTAAATTCAGATGGCCTATTTAAATAGCATAATTGAAAGTATGCTGAATTAGCTATTACATATTGTTGTTTGCAGTGTGCTCATGGATGTACAGAGAACTATCATTGGATTACTTTAAAACTGAAAACAACCTAAAAACGTGATGAATCTCAGGCAAGTTCTGGGGTTATACAGAGTGTCTTTTTACTATGACTTAAGCAGATTTGTGGATGTTTATTCAAAAAACACATCAGAGATATAATAGTCTGCTTAAGTGTTAGTCACAATGAATCCAAAAATATATGTATTTCAATTGTGACTCAAGTTGCAGCATTATGGTTCAAATACCGTGATTTCCCTCCATTTGTTGTCTGTTGGTTTGAGAACCTATTTATTCGGTCTGGTTGTGTTCACAGTGGAGACGGCAGCAGACAGAGGAGGAGGATGGTCTTTACCTTGAGTCCTGAAGGTTTTCCCACAGAGATGACACTGGTAAGGCCTCTCACCGCTGTGTATACGCAGATGCATGTTCAGATTGTTCTTCTGGGAGAATGCATGGCCACACAGGGTACATACAAAAGGCCGCTCATTCCTGTAGAGCAAGACAAAAAAGAATCAGACAATCTGCACAAATGCAACCACATTTTAGTATTATCAAATCAGGAAATAGCGACCTGTGAATGGCTTTGATATGCATCTGCAGGCCGTTTCGACTGGACGCTCGATGGCCACACTCCTCACACACAAACGGCTTCTCCCCTCGATGTTTGGCTGCTTCGTGCACACGCAGCTCCGTCCGAGTTAGGAAGGTTTTGGGGCACTGGGAACACTGAAGAGTAAAAATATTGTTAAAACAGAATGAAACTACAACCTTAAACCTTGAGATCATAAGTGTTTTTTTGCATTGACAATATATGGCAAACTGTGTGCAACCTTTGTTTAGCTAAAAAAAACACTATTACTGTAGATACATCACCAGTTAGTCAAATAAACATTAGAGGACTCACTGCATGTGGTTTGGGATGACCATGGACCTTCATCATGTGAATCGTCAAGTTTTTCTTGTGCATAAACTGTTCAGGACACGATGAACACTGGAAGAAATGACACCATATCACTGAAGCTCATTTCAAATGTGATATATTTTTATTTAAATGCTATTTTTGTTGTGTCAGGCTGTACCTTGTGGGGCATATTCCCCGTGTGGGACACAACGTGCAAACGCAGCTCTACTTTCCCGTTGAACGTGGAGGAGCATGTCACGCACGTGTACGTCTGTAATGTAAACACAGCACAAACACTGATTACTGTTACACTCTTTATATTCTTATTTTATATTTAGGCCAGATGTAGAGACACTCACCTGCACTTTAGCACAGTCTTTCATCTCATGAAGCGACAGATTCTCCTTCCTGAAGTATCTCTTTCCACATTTAGCGCAACCAAAGGGTCGCTCGCCTGTGTGTCGCCTACAGAAAAAGACCCATTAGTCGCTAATCTATAACGATATTTCGAAGTAAAACTGAAGGTGTGTACCTGTTGTGGACTTTAAGGTAGTATTTGCTCCTGAAGGATTTGTTACAGATGGGACACAGCACACAGTCCTTTTTGGAGTCTTCCTCCACGGCCTCTCCATTCTCACTTTTGTCCGTTTTACTCTGAGCCTTGCGCTTCTGTGCCGTTGAAGTGGACGGGGATAAGGAACCGGGCTCTTCGACGGGAACATACTCTTCATCTGTGTCTTCAGTGATCGCCTCAAAATCCCCCACATCATCTTCTTCTTCTACTTCCTCCATCCCCTGGTTAACAATGTTGTCATTTAAGTCAATCTGCAAGTCAGATACCTGCAAATAGCACAAGACGAAGGAGATAATACCCACCGTATTTGCTTAAAAATCATCATTATTTGCACTTATTCCCAACACTTATGTCTTCTACCTCAGTTTCACCAGTCAGCTGATCTGGGTTTTGGCTCTCCACGGCATCGACACCACTTTCTGCCTCGTTGGGGCCAAGTGGAGCCATTTTATCGCCTTTTTCCTGGTCTGTGAAATCAGTGGTTTGGCTGTCATCGGTCACAAGTCGCCGGGGGCCCTTCACCACACGACCAGAGCGAGTGGTGGTGGTAGCAGCTCCAGAGGTCATGCTTAAATCAGCCGTGGTAGCATCAAAGCTGGACTCAACTTTTGTGATTGTGAGCAGGTTCTCTTCTTTGACTGGAACATTGGGGGTCGTATCTGATGTGGACAGAGGTAGAAGAAGAAGTACACAAGAATCTTCAGCAAAATGTACTTAAAGTATAAAAAGTGAAAGTAATCATTCTGCGGAAAAATTGCCTTTTATGTGTGTATAATTATATTTATACATGTGACATTTCTAGATAATATTGGTGCATCAAGTAGCATTTTACTGGTGTAGGCTTCACAGTTCTGATTGACTTTGTGTTAAATATTTAAATAATTTGACTCTTTTAAAGGTAGGGTAGGTAAGAATGGAGAAACCAGCTCGAGTGCGCTAGAATTTGAAACTACGCAGCCGAAAAAAAATCTGCCCCTTCCTTCAGACTTCCTTACAGAGCTCCTCCTCCAACACACACGAACGCGCACATGACCAATGAGGGCACGAGATAAGTTTGTGCACAGATGGAAGGCTGACAGGCAGGTAGGCCATCCAGTTATTTTAGCCGGGCCGGCTCAGATGATTGGTCGTGCTTTTTACAGCGCCACGGCTTCCACAGATGACATTTTTTATGTATTTATTGTCAAAGCACTTAAGATATTCATTGCTATCGGGATGTTAAGAGCATTCCATGGAATATAACAAAAAGTGTTTCTGAAGTGAATTACCTACCCCACCTTTAAGTTGTTACTCCACTATTTAAATTTTTAGAGATACAATCGGTTAAAAGTATCTAAAGCTTTTGAATAAATGTAGTGGAGTGAAATGACATGATTTCCCTTTTAAATGTAGTGGAGTAGAAGTATAAAGAAGCATACAATACAGACGTTTTTCTTTGCAATTGTACTGTATATTTAATAAGTTGGCTTACTCTTTATAATTGCATGCCTTTTTTTACCTGCTATGCCACTTTTGCTGTAACACTTTAAAGTTCCCTGCTGCGGGAACAGAAGATGAATACTGATTCGGATTCTGAAAATGTAAATACTAAAGATGCAAGATTTAAAGATTCAAGATTCAAAGGCTTTAATGTCATTTTTTTTTTACGTTTTTTCTTTCTTACTTTGTATCTTCTTTAACTGTGTTCCTGTATGCACCATATACACCAAGGAAACATCCTCGTATGCGTAAACCTACTAGGCAATAAACCTGTTTCTGTTTCTGATATATATCAATATTCCAATTACTTGTACATAGACTATTCTGCACAATTTCTATGATATTCTATTTTATTTTATGTACTTGCACTATTATCTGTTTTATTGTGTTGAACTGTTGGAGGAGCCTGCGACTTAAGATTTTCATTGTCATAACTACACTGTAGCTATGTACATATGACAATAAAAGCTTTGATTCTGATTGAGTAAATGTACTTAGTTCCTTCCCACCTCCGGATGTGGACTTCCTGGGTCGGCCTCTTTTACGTTTGAAAGGCTGGGAATCAGCAGGGTTCTCCTTGAACTGCTGACACAGGGAGAGAGCTTCAGGAACGCCCAGGCTGGCGGCTGCATGCTGAACCTTCTCCAGGTTGTCAGCCTCCAGCTTCAGCTCCCCGGTGTAGAGGAAGTTCAGCAGCAGCTCCAGGCCGTCTTTGGGGCACTCCTGCAGGCAGAACTCCATGCAGGGTGCAGAGGCCATGTTGGACTGCTGGAAGAGGTCACTGAAGCAGGCCAGGATGCTGCGGTGGGCTAGGTAGACCACCCCCCCTCCCACATTCAACACTGCATCACAGAACCTGCCCACCGCTCTCTGCTGGTTCAGGGAGGAGAGGACGCGCTGGGCATGGCTGCTCTCTGCTGGAGGCATCCCTCTGTTTCACTGTGGGATACCGCTGACTGAGAGACAGGGACATCATACTGCATGTTATTAGTAACTTAGCATTGTAGTATGTGTAGCATTGAACATACATTTCAGTTAAACAGGGTTATTCATCTCGTTAGTTTATTAATCTGTGCTTAAGGGGAAAATAGTGAGTCAAACCAATGGCCTTTAAATCCCTTATTTTATCTTGCTACCAATTTAAAACCCAAAGATATTCACTTTGCTGGCACATATTTCAAATCAAAGCCGTTTTTAAATGTGTGTTTTGGATTAAAAGACATTTGGTAACATTGACTTAGTTGCATATTAAGTTTCTTTTAAATTACTAATTATTTGAAATCTAATATAGAAGTTGTATGTTGTTGTACATGTGTAAATATATATATTTCTCGTCTACTTGACTGTAAATATAAGCTGTATTTCTACCTATCTCTATTTGATGATTGTTGTGTTGTAAATGCATGTGTTTTATCTTTGAAAATGACTTGATTTATCATTCAGTCAATCAACTGAACCAATATATATATATTTTTTTTAAACCAACAAGGCATGAAATGCAGTTTCCAAATGTGAGGATTTGCTACTTTTATTTGCCTTATGTGAGACAAACTGAATGGCTTTGGGTGTTCTTGGACTAAACTGTCAGATAAAACTAGATGTGTTGATATAACTGTAGATCCTCCAGATCTTTAATACTATAAAATAAGGTATAACATTATTTATATTGGTGGAAATCATTATACAATGTTGAAGTAAAAAGTACTAAAAAATATCAAAGGTGCAAATCCAAAATACACAGAATGCAAATAAAAAACACCATTAGGTTGACAATACTGATTCGGATAAATTAACAGCCATGATGTTGCAAATACTTACAATTGCATCTACATAAACAAAGAACATCATTTAAGTGTTACATATTTAAGACAGATTGAAATCACTTGCATGCATCATGTTAAATTATCTACTTTAACAAATGAAGCGAACTGAATTACATTTATTTCAGTGATAGCTACATAGCATATACATTTTTTAAATATAATTTAAACTGCTCACGTATACTTTCCTTGAATAATCCTATGCCTGCTTTAGAGGCTGCCTAACATAAAATGATTGCAAGCCCCTAGCTACCTACGCAGCTCGACGTTTATTTCCGAGCACATTTTTAAAGACGCTCCCTTAGCATGGTACGCACCCGACAGCTGCATCACCTCTGCAGTATGGATGAAAAAATTGTGATTTATTTCCTATATTGCTGAGAAGTTGCAGCCGATTCGTGTTGCCCAGCAAATAGTTTGCAAAACGTAGCAAAGCCGCTTCATGCACCTTGTTTTCGTTTCTTGTAGGCCCCTAAAAAGCTGCAGAAGGAAGAGGATGTGACGCTTTTTATGCGACCGAACTCCGGGAAAAATGCTTGTTGTCCATGATTAAACATCTACAAGCACATAAGTAACAATGTACTAGCCTCACATATAATTATTATCTGTGCCTACATTCATTTCGTTCTTTTTGTTGAGTTTATTCATATTTCAGATCAAATGTAATAGTTCTGCGTAGTTAAATGTAAATAATGAAACTCCGGGCTAGCCTTTAGTCGACCATTTGGAAGCGGCGTCTGTTTGTGGCTCACACATGTTAGTTAGCTTGTTAGCACTGCTGCAGCACAGTTGGCCATTTCCTTGGCTTCACTTTTCCTAAATAAGAACGGTATCTATTTAGTAAAAATCACTACGGCTTCATATTTCTACGTTGTCTTTACACAATTGGGGGGTAAGTTTTCTCCTCCTGAATGCATTAAGATCAGATAGCAGTTAGCATAACTGTCAGTTGTTTCAGTTCTGTGATGGGTAGACGAAATATATAAATGTTTGTAAAATATATTGTATAACAGCGAGTTATACTGTCGTATGTTGTATGTGTGTTTTTTTTAATATTGCTCCACATGTTGATATACTAAAGTACATTATAATACGTATGTTGCTACCTCGTTTTACGTCTTACTGTGGTTAGCTTAGCATTCAATTGCTATCGAACTGCTGCAAAATCAAACTAATATGTGTTGAATTAAGGTTTTTAAATATTTTTCTTTTACTTTATACTCTACTACATTTGAAAGGAAAATGGTTACTAGCCACTTTTTAATTTTAAATAACAAATAAAGTATGCTATTTTATTGTGGGATGAGATAAGACATTAATGACAGTGGTGTAAGTAACTAAGTACTGTAGTTAAGCACAATTTTGAGGTACTTGTACTTTACTTGAGTATTTACATTTGTTGTTACTGTGTACTTCTACTTCTTTACAATTCAGATGTTAATAGTGTGTTTTTACTCCACTACATTTATGTAGTACTTTTTTAGTTACATTGATGTAGATTATATAGATAAACAAACACTTTAAAAAGACTTTAGATTTACCTGTGCTAAATTCACATTCTACCGAGCAGTAAATCAAGTAATCGAAGCTAGTTCCACCTTTTCCACCTTGATAAACACATTAATCAGTCATTATAATCAAAACATATAATATTAATGATTGTGAACATGGCCAATCTGCATAATGAGTACTTTTACTTTTGGTACTCCAAGTATATTTCGATGCTATTACTTTTACTTGAGTAACATTTTGATTGCAGGACTTTTACTCGTGGCCGAGTATTCCTTCACTCTGGTACTTCTACTTTTACTTTTACTTAAGTACACGATCTGAGTACTTCTTCCACCTCTGATTAATGATCATCGCAGTATATTCACACTCTACCCTGCAGTATATATAATAATGTGACATACACGTTATTGCGTCAACAATTTTGATCAGATAACATAACATTTATTGTGAAACGGACCATTCTGTAAAATGTTTCTTTGATATTTTTTTTATTTTTTTGCAGTACTTTACATTATTTCTACACTTTAATAGTACTACCTTTATTTAAGTGTAAGATCTAACATCTTCCACAATTGGTTATTGCTGAGTTTGTGAAGGCTAATTTTCAGCTATTCATTTTGACCCTAGTCAATATAGTGGTGACACCTGTCCTTTCAGATGCTAATGGTCTCTACATGCATCTCTAATTCGAGATTATTTACCTCTCATTTTGCTCTCTCTCTTTCTACTCTCGTTCTTTCTCATTCTCCATCTCTCTCTCTCTCCTCTCTCTCTCTCTCTCTCTCTCTCTCTCTCTCTCTCTCTCTCTCTCTCTCTCTCTCTCCTCTCTCTCTCTCTCTCTCTCTCTCTCTCTCTCTCTATCTCTCTCTCTTTTTGCAGCCTGCCCCCTTTTTGTTTTAATCAGCACCCACAAGAGTAGTTGTTGATCACAGAATCATGAAGGCACATAAACCCGCACAGGTGAAGGGCCATGCTAAATCTCAGAAGTGGAAGGATGTGAGGGGCAAACGGAGCCGGCCTCCCATCACTTCCTCTGAGCTCAACTCCAGTCCTGTCGTGGCCAGAATAGCGGTGGTGCACAAAGTGTCTCAGAAGAAAAAGCCCTCCGTCAAGAGATTAAAGAATAAAGCAAAGCCTGTCTCTGACGCCAAGACAAACACCCCTCAGTCTGTAGTTCAGAAACCTCCCACACAGGCTAATGGAAGCTCAGTGTTTAAAATGGACAATGATTCAAATGACTCCATGGAATGGAAGAAGTATTCCCAGTCTATTCATGGGAATGGTGTTAAGACCTCAGGTGAAATGGAAAATATAATCCCAGTTAGACTGGAGGGAGGGTCTCTCCATAACTGTGCAGAGAGAGATGATCGACGAAACCACGCAGTGCTCGTCATGCAGAAGAATCAGGTATGCTTTGGAAAATTAAGTAAAGATCTGACAACTAAGATTTTTTTTTTTTTTACTAAGCATTACATTTCCTCTCCCTCAGACCCTGTGTTTCCGTGGGAAGTGCCACCTGACCTGTCTGTACGGCCGGGTGGAGGTGATGGGGTTCACCATTGAAGAAGGCCAGCAGTCATATCCTCTCTTCTCCCCAGCATCACATTGTCCTCTGACCATTAGAGCACTGGAAAGCTCTGATCAGACCAGAGATGACAAAACAGAGGCTTCATCCATCCTCAAAAAGTACCTGAAATCAGGTAAATCAGCTCGAACCATGTTATAAGGGAGGGGTCAATTTAATGCATATTCTATTAATTTTGCCTATTTCAGATTAGGATTTCTCAGTTGGTGACACGTTCAAAGCTGTGTTTTAGAAACACATTGTTTTCTATCCGTACTTACTGTTTGAATTTAAATGTTGCAGCATCACGGAAGAAATTGCTAAAAAATGTTACATCAAACTCCTCCATCATCCTCCTGGAGCCCATGGAGACGCCTCTGACGCGGTTCCTGTCGAGCTTCACAGATCTCAGTGAACTGTTCAGCCCCCCAGTGGTGAGTTTACTGACAGTGTTCACCTGATCACAGGAAATTAATCAAAACTGAATGTGGAATAGAGCTGGAACTGGGAGACGATGAGAATATTAGCAGAATTCATGAATAGGTTAATGTTTTAGGTATTTTTCTAAATTCTTGCACGTGTTAAACAGAATCTTTTCTCCCCTGTTTGTTTGCAGAGTGAACTCATATCCGCTGTTCTTGACACGCCACTCAATGGTCTGGGGATGATTCCCTTAGTGGGAGCCATCGAGGGCCTGAAAATGTCAAAGACCTACAGAGAGGCTCTCAACATGGTGGTCGGTGCCTGCAGAGGTAAGCTCCTCTTAGATATGCCACTAAAGGTTATTGAACACTGAGGTTGTCTTGGTCTCATGTTTGATTCATGTTCAAGATCACTGTAAAAGCATGGAAGCCAGGGGTGTCCAAACTACGGCCCAGGGGCCAAATGCGGCACATTTTGAAACGGCCGTCAGCTAATTCAAAAAGTATAATGAAATATGGCCCACAAATGAAACTTGTGCTTGTAATATATAGTACTTCTTAAATATATATGTAACACAACAATATATTACACAGTATTCATGTGTTAATATGTCAATTGAAGTTAAAAAAATGAGCTGCCAACCAAATAAATGAAACCCTGTGGTAAGCTGTGATGTAGGCCGTTGTGTTTCTTAAAGCATTTTCAAGTATCAAGCATAATTTATTTGATTGATTTCGCCAACTTATAACTGAACTGATATGGCAATATACCTCTAGTGAGCGGCACAGCCCTTCGTATATTGTTCTGTATGTGGCCCTCAGTGAAAACAGTTTGGACACCCCTGATGTAAGCATATCTGAACACATGTCTGTCTTTCACAGGGGACCTGGATGGTTGTGCAGTCATCCTCGTATGTGGATCCAAAAATGTTGGCAAGTCAACGTTCATCCGCACCCTCATCAACACCTTACTGAACCAGTAAGTTCCATTCTAATACATTTGCTCATATTTTTTAAACATTGAAGTGCTTCGAAATGAAACTTAATAAAGATATCATTTTGTTGTGTGTGTGTGTGTGTGTGTGTGTGTGTGTGTGTGTGTGTGTGTTTGCAGCACTGGTAGTGTAGATTACCTGGAAGGTGACCTCGGTCAGACAGAGTTCACTCCGGCTGGATGCCTTTGTTTGGCGAATGTCACAGAACCACTTCTGGGTAAGTTTGATCATCCTCCCACTCTGAAGCCTTTACAATGCTGTATAAAACATGCATAGTTGACATCTTCCTTTTATAGTAAGAAATAATATGGTTTGTAAGTGTTAAAGGTGGGGTAGGTCATTTTGGAGAAACCAGCTCGAGTGCGCTAGAATTTGAAAATACACAGCCGGAAAAAATCTGCCACTTCCTTACAGAGCCCCTCCTCCAACACACACGAACGCGCACATGACCAATGAGGGCACGAGATAAGTTTGTGCCCCGATGGAAGGCTGACAGGCAGGTAGGCCATCCAGTTATTTTAGCCGGGCCGGCTCAGATGATTGGTCGTGCTTTTTACAGTATTACGGCTTCCACAGATGAATTTATTTTATGGATTTATTGTCAAAGCACTTAAGATATTCATTGCTATCGGGATGTTAAGAGCATTCCATGGAATATAACAAAAAGTGTATCTCGAGCCGGTTTCTCAAACTTACCTACCCCACCTTTAAGGGAATAGTTGTCACATTTCCTGGTAAAATCTTTGATTTGCTCTCTTGCAAAGAAACAAGAGGAAATATTTATTTTTCTGTCGACCAGCACCAATAAAGCTCAATAAGTTGTATGTTGGTTTTATGTGTGTGTACAAATGATACTAGGTCAAATGGAAAATATAATATGTAAGGGGTTATGTACTAGACTGTTTTTTGTGCTGCAACTTCATATTAATCGTACAGACATAAGAGTGATACTCATCTAGACTGTGAAATATTGTGTTATTTAATTGTGACGTGTGTACCTGCCCAGGGACTGTTGATGGAAATAAGATAATGGCTTAATTTGCCATAAATCACCTCTTCTCCTAATAAAGACATAATAATAATAATCTTTCAAATCTTTTCCACAAAATGTCAAACTATTCCTTTTAATGTTTTATCTGAAAAGTCCCCCCACTTCTGTTTTTCCTCCACTATTTGTTTAAAACGTGATTAGTGGATTTATATTGAATTATCTTCCAGGTCCTCCTTTCACACATCAGACCCACCCAGAGCACATGGTCCACTTCGGTCACACGTCATGTGAGACGGACTTGGAGCGGTACCTGGAGTCTCTGAAGACCCTGTGGCGCAGACGCTCCCCGAGCAGAGAGACCACCGTCGTCATCAACACCATGGGCTGGGTCAAAGGTCAGCTCAGGCTCCTCTCTGGGACTAAATATAAGTATTCTCTCTGTACACAGTGTCTGAACATGTGCTTGTTTGGGGACTGTCCACAGGATTTGGGTTTCAGTTGCTGGTGGACATGATCCGCTTCTTCCCCGTCTCACATGTGGTCCAGCTCAGTCACAGCGGGGTCACTCAGTGTCCCTCCATGACTCCAGAGTTTCTGAGGACGGCGCACGGCCATCAGACGCACCCCCCTGCTGTGACCGCTCTGGACGAGTTCTCCGAGAGCCACAGCCCCCCCAAAAGTTACACTCACGTTGTCGTACAATCAGAGTTCCAGGGAGCCGGGCGGCAAGGAACAGCGTAAGTACACCTCAGTCAGCACATTGACATATAAAGGTAAAAGTGAATAAAAACAACTTGCATTTTAAGCAAGTTTTTCATTGCCATATCTATGCTGTAGCTAATGTGCACATGACAATAAAGCCTTGAACCTTGCTGTGCAACCCTCATCCTCTTAAGATGACAATTCATTAACCTTGAAAATGTTATTTATTATATATGCGTGTCCTTTGTATTTGACAGGAAGCACCAGCGCACCAATGAGCTGAGAGAGCTTTCTCTGTTGGCCTACCTGAGTCAGCTGCAGTCACCTGACCCCGGACCAATCAGACCTCTGCACACCCTAACCCCCTACCAGGTATGTGAGAGCCATGATTGTACACACAGATATTCTTTTGTTAGAATTTTACCTTGTCTGAGTTTTGCATCGTGGCATAAGTATCCAAAATGTTTGAAAGGTTTACGGCCTCTCACACCGGGGACGAATAAACTAAAACAGTGGTTCTCAAAAGTGGGTTGCGGACCCGTTTCGAGTGGGTCGCAGATGTGTGAGTGAAGAAAAAAAGTCAAACTTTTATTTTGAAGGCCCGATTTTCTAACGCTGTGCATGCAGTAGGCGTTGGACTGGAAGTACCGGAGACCATGAACGGTTTTGAAAACTTCTGTCACGTAGTGATCATCTTCTCAATAAAACATCTTTGCTGATGTTTTTTCGAGTCTTCTGGCCAATCAGAATCAAGATTGTTGCCGGAAGTCCCCACGGAGAATAACTTTGCGGTAGAACTATTCTTTATACATCCATGGGTACGACTTCAGATACAAATGAACACATAATGAAATATGACCCCCGGTTTGATTATTGACAGGTCACAGAATAATGGGGTCTATCTACCCTACCCACAATTTAAAGTAATTCACACAAACTATCTCCTCTTTGCTCTTCTCTCTGTGAGGAGCAGCAAGTTCAGCTGTCAGAACAAAGTGAAAAACAAACAATGGCATCAAATATTATTAATATGTCGGGTAGTAATAGATTTATTTATTTTCTTCTCGGAGTGTACCAGAATGCGTAGTTTATATGTTAGTATTTCTAAAAATCTCTTGGGGGAGAATCCCCCCAGACCCCCTTCTGCAGTTGGGTTTTCAGCATGTGTGCCTTTTTATGTAGTTCAGCTTTGATTCCATCATCTCATTAAACCTTATTTAAAAGCATACTTTAGTTCTGTGAAGGGATATAAGCACTGTACTTCACTTTAATTAATATTGTATGCTGAAAAGCGTTTATATATTACAGCACGATTTTGGGTCGCGATTTATTGACAAAGGAAAAAAGTGGGTCCCGAGGCCTGACCAGTTGAGAACCACTGAACTAAAATACAGTATATTTGTTGACAATAATTCTCGTTCAAACCTTGCACACAAATATTTGTATTAATTTATATATTTTTTTACTTGAATACGCTCTCAACTCTACACACAAGAGTGGTACTCATCTAGACTATCAAATATTGAAAGTGTTATTTAATTGGTATGAGTGTAAATGCCCAGCAGGGACTGTTGATGGAAATAAGATAATGGCTTCATTTGGCATAAATCACCCCTATCTATGCTTTTTTATGCATGGTCCAATGTTTCTCGTTCAAACCTTACACACAAATATTTGCCTTCATTCATCTTTGTTTTTAATTGAATACACAATCAACTTTACACGCTGAAGGTGGCTTTAAGTCTGTAGTACTTTGTAGAAAATGTAGGTTGGATTTTCCATGGTTGGCATGCTATTGTAACAAGTTTAAATGCTGAGCTTCATAGTACACATGTAACAGTTTAACAATGGGTTTAATCTTACATGATCAGGTTATACAACCTCTGGGACTGTAGGATTTGATGCAGGTGTATTTGGTCTTCTCCCATTTATTTATGACTCTAATTTTCATATTTCAGTGTGTGTACAAATTAACCATCAACATGAATAAGTGCCTAACCATTCTCCCTCCTGCCCGCAGGTACCCCAATCAGCGGTGGCTCTGGGTGTGATCCACTGCGAGGTGGTGCCCTCTCACATGTTTTACGCTGCTAACGCCAGTCTGGTGGCCCTCTGCTGCCTGGGAGAGAAAGTGAGCAGCAAGGGAGGCCCCGTGCTGCTGAGTCAGGCTCCCATCTGCCCCTGCGTGGGCTTCGGTAGGTGACCCTTCAACTCTGTGAGCTCAGAGGGGCAAACAATGTCTCATGATCAGGAAGGAATAATCTATCTTCAGTCAAACCTCACATTCAATAGTCACATTTAGTTAGCAAAACACTAGATATACATGTTTTTTATATATCTGAGACCTATAATATATGCCTAAAAATAGTATAATAGGAGACCTTTAAATTCAAATTAGCCTCTAGTGGCGCATTTCCACTACACGGCCTCGCTCGGTATGGTTAGGCCTTGTTAGGCCTTGTTAGGACTGGCTCACTTTATGGCGCATTTACATTACAGTTTAGGAACTGGGGTAGTATCTATAGTAACGCAGTGTAGGCGGAGCCGTGACGTCATCTTCAATGAGAGCCCCAGAAAACCAACATCAGCCGTTAGCTGTTAGCACTCAGAGCTCACAGCTCCTCATATATGTTCAGAAACTAGACAAAAGTTAAACAAGTACACACCACAGACTGTCTGTGTCATGGCGAATACAGTCGCTGCTTTATTTATGTCTGTATAGGCCGTTGTTGTGAGTGTGGACGGTCGGAGCATATACTGCGTTAGCTTAGCCGATCTCCATTTAGACAACACACATTTTAAAAGGTTTTTTGCCTGCCGTCTGTCTGCAGACTTGACAAAGCATTAATTCATGGTTTTCACTAACCGGTATCAGTATGTTGTTACTTCGGCATCATTTTGAAACGTGTATTACAATTAAATCACGGTCAAATATGTCCATCTTGTTGTAGTTGTAGCCCCTTTGCCAGAGATTCTCTCACTAGTTTAGCATACTCAGCTCGACTCAGCCTGGTTGTTGGCCCGGAAAGAACCTCGATTTCATGGGGCCAGAAAAACTGTGAAATAGTACCCGCTAGCCGGAACTACGCCAAGTGGAAACGCAACCAAAAACGGGCCCCGCACGGCTCGGCACGCTTAAAGCGAGCTCCGCGCTGTAGTGGAAATGCCCCATTAGTGATCAAATTGTTAAATTCAGTATATATTTACATGCTAATGTGTTCCAGGTGTGCTTCGAGGTATCGACATGGCGCGAGGTCTGTACTTTTTACTGACGCCTGTAGATCCCTCCATCCTTCGTAACGTCAACTGTCTCCTCCTGGGAGCGATATCCCTGCCTTCCTGTATCCTCACAACACAGGTCAGAACACTTCTCTGGTCCATCTCTTTCATTTCCTATCTTTGGCATGTCAAATATCATTAAATATGTGCTTAACATACATAACATTCATCTGTTTGCAACTCACATATATCATAGCCTATATATCAATATTCCAATTACTATATATAGACTATTCTGCACAGTTTCTATCATATTCTGTTTCTATTATATCAATTTAATTTGATTGACTTGTACTATTGTATCTGTTTTATTGTGTTGCACTGTTGGAGGAGCCTGTGACCTAAGATTTTCATTGTCATAACTACACTGTAGCTATGTACACACATGACAATGTGAAACTTTTCTCATGACGTATGGTACCTTTTGTCCTTGTTCCAGCCTGGCTTTGATGGAGAGATGCCCTACATCACTAAAGACTACAGTTTTGATCTCACCGGTGCAGGAAAGCTGCGAGTCTTCAAGGGACTGACCAGACCCAGTCAAATGGGGAATTAGTGACATTTCTTATACATAATTTCTCTGTACCCTTCTTACCTGCTGTTTCCCACCCAAACCAGTAAGGATGGGCCTTTCTCTGAACAGACCTGAGGTTGAGATGGACAGTTTTTTACTTCAAGATTCAGAGAGACAGAGCAGCCAGCGTCACAGACTCTGCAGGAAGAGATGGCTGCCTTCCTGTTGGTGGACGTACAACCTCTTACTGTACGAACATCTGAAGGAACGGTGAAGGAGTTTGTTTTCTGGACAATAATATCACACTTTGTATTTAAAGCTCTTTATTGTGTAGTTGGCATTCCAGAGTGGCAAATCAATACAAATGCCTGCCGGATATTAAACAAAAAACACCTTCTGCTCAGACTTTGTGGTTTTATTGATTTCAAGTGTCATATAGTCATAGATCCATGTAGACTTCAACCATTTAATGGATTAGGATAATTACTGTGAATCTGAAGCCTATTTTGTCAGTATTGTGCTTAAATACCAGTGAATTGTTTTACAGATATCGCTCTTTTTTTTTTTGCCTTACTGCTTTAACTGCTGTACATTTGGTCTTGTCTTAACGATAACGTGTTCTTGCACTGGTGGGTCATTAAAAGTGTTTTGTGAATGCAACTTGTTTACATTTGTAAGCCTATGTGGGATGTAAAAGATTCATCAAAGACTAATGGTTCTACATGTTGTACCTCAAGGGGGCAGCAAATGTATTTTGAGATTTTGAACAACAGCAGATGTTCACGTACAATACGTTTTAGGGCAGTAATTAAAACATATTAGCCTGTAAAACAGAATAACTTCTTTCATATTCAAATTGAAGAAATTCTAATTAAAGAAATAACAAACCCCATGTCTTGTAACTACCTAAACTGGCCTCAAATTATCTTACTTGAAAATTAGAAGGAGTACTGGGTCGTAAACATCCACTCACACAGTGAAGAATTGCTAATTTGTTAAGTGGGCTGTTTTAACATCCCCTCTCTGTCTGCCCCCTCGCTCTTCTTTGTCTGCTGTTCCCCGCCTCTTTATGGAGGCTGGGGAGCACACAAACACAACACAGCTACAATTTGGCAGCGTCATTGTTTTGGCTTTGTCAGGTCAGATGTTTTCCCATGCAGACCTCATGCAAACCAAAGAGAAATCCCTCTGTGGGGGTGACACGAGACGGCCGGCACGAACATGAATAAGCAGAAATAACAACACACATCTGTGAAAAGGCTTTGAATACAAATTCAAATTATGAATGTTATGAAAGGCTAGTATAAACCTAATACTGTTTTGAGTGAAATATGTTGTTACTTCACACTTTTCTTAATTTAGTAGTTACTTAACTGCTTATCTGGGGGTAAAGCTTGAATGAGAAAGCATGTATGCAAATAAAAACTATTCAATTTCTATTTTAAGCAAAGAAACCAAATGTTTCCAAGATCTAAATAGTGGAATTGTTCCCAAAACAGGATTGGTGGCAGAATCAGTTATCTTTTTAAAGCCCTAAAAAGTATAAACACACTCAGTCATGCAGGCATCTGTTGTGCAGCTCTGTTTTGAACAATAAACCTTGTGTATCAACTGCTCTGTGCCTCACTTATGCAACGTCCCCCCTCCCAAACAAACAGTGCGTATGTTGCCTGCAAACACAATTGTGCTGAGTAAAGTAACAATGCAGAGGCAGCGTGCCATTATAACTCAAATCCCTCTGTTCAGTTCAAAAGAACATGTGAGGAGAGAAACTCCCCGGATTCAGCCCACTGTTTCATGAATTGCTTTGATTCTCTGAAACCACACAACAATAGTGCAATGCCATTAGTCTCCAAATAATCTGCTGTTAACCATTTAACCCCCATTTCCACCACTTTATGTGTATTCAGTTTATTTACTTTAATAAAGATCCTCAGTTACATCAGGCAACAAAGTAGAAGCCACATGAAGGCCATAGTTAGCTTAGCATGTGTCAAATGTATTGGTTATTACTTATCTAACTCCTTACATCTTGTAAAAATAAAACGAACTGTAAATACAACTTATACAGTATATACATAACCATATACATGTATATAATGACCATAATAATTTACTAGTGTGAAAAGATCAACTCAATAACAAGTACTTTTACTTTTTATACTTTAAGTACATTTTGATGCTAATGCTAATAGCCTATGTACTTTCAGTTAAATACCATTTTGAACTCAGGACTTTTACTTGTGGAGTATTTTAAGACTATAGTATTTGTACTTTTATATAAGTAAAGGATTTGAGATACTTCCAACACTTTGCTTTCAATCACTCAATAATAATTAATAATGTATGTTTATGTTTTTGACCTTTTTAAGATAACTTGGTTGCCAGACATCTGGATATTCTTTGGATAAAATCCCTCAGAAAAAATGAATGGACCCTAGTGTGTGTGTGTGTGTGTGTGTGTGTGTGTGTGTGTGTGTGTGTGTGTGTGTGTGTGTGTGTGTGTGTGTGTGTGTGTGTGTGTGTGTGTGTGTGTGTGTGTGTGTGTGTGTGTGTGTGTGTGTGTGTGTGTGTGTGTGTGTGTGTGTGTGTGTGTGTGTGTGTGTGTGTGTGTTGTCTATGTCTCTATGGCGCCCCTAGAGGCCACCCGGCGCACAAAAAGGGGAACTGCATCGGGTCTTTGTGGATCCAGGTTGTGTGAATGAATGGAGAGCCGATGGTTGATCAGAGAGGACGACGAGACGAAGCAGCGGACAAAATGTGTTCAACTTCCCCGGCACAGTGTGTAAAGTTCATATACGGAAGCCTATCCATGGATGTGCTGATTTAAACACCCTGAACAAGGTGTTTTTCTCCTCGTATTTCCATTTCTACACCGAGGGGGCTTCAGCAACACACGTCGGACGTCGAGGAGATTTTTTTTTTCCTCATGTGTGCAGCAGCAACAGGTTATTTACAGTTTAGCACACACTCCAACGTGCAGCTTTAACCCAGTGGTTGTTAGATCAGTGTTAACTTTTCGTGGATGCTGTTGTTTCACTCTTTTCCGTGCATTCAAAGCGATGTGTGCCGACCACAGATCCTAACAAGGCTGAGCAGCAGGCTTTAAAAGGAGGGCGACCACAGAAAGGAGGATGCCATAGATAAGCTAATAGAGCTAATTAAACATCGCTGGGGTGATTAGCATTGATCCTGCCACACACAGACACACAGATCTGCAACACAGCTGCTGTTGGTGCAGGGGATTTTTTTTTTCTTCCTGCATGCATAGATGGTGCCAAACAAGTGGACCATGAATTCAGTTCTGCACAAATCACCACCAAGGAGCTGGCTTGGACTCAGACTACGAATCAGTAAGTAAACATCATTATTAATGTCAAGCTTTTGGATAACTCAGCCTCAATGAGTCACCTGAGTGCTTTGTTCTTAGAAGCACCTTCTGTAGGGCACTCTGAGTTGCTCATGGATAGGAAGGGGAATTACTTTGATCCCAGATCTTTGTTTAATACCCCCCCCCCCCTCCCCCCCTTCATCATAGTTACAGACTGGATTTGGCAAGTGACCTGAGCAATTATCCCAGCTGGAGATATGTTAGTCAGAGGAGGACAGTGCACTCTGATCTGAACTTCCCCTCATGATGAAGGGTCTAGGTACAGCTCAGATGATAGATATTACATCTTGTAAATCTCCACTATTTATTGTATTTTTCCTCCCCAGGCTTGCCGTCTGTGCTCTCTTCTCGCTTTCCCAGCTCATAACTCACATCAAAGTGAACAATTTGGTATTTTAGGCTTTCTTAGGGCTGCAACTAACAACTATTTTCCCAAGTAGCGCTTAAAATGTTTTTTATTTCCAAAAACCTAGAGAAAGACCTAAATGAACACTTAAGAAAGTTCGACCCAGTGACCTTTCTGGCATTTTTGTGCTTTAAAAAGTGTCCTGAAAGATTTATAGACTGATCCAAATAATTGCAAATTAGTATTCTCTTAGTCTACTAATCTCTTTCAGCTTTACTCGCAGCACCCTCACATGTGTAGCCCTCTCTTTCAGGCGTTTACATGTGTGATGCATGCATTGCTGGCACGGATACATACAGTAAGTGAAGTAAGCATGGAGTTAAAGTTTAGCAGCCTTAATTGGTTGGGTCTGGAAACCTTCAATGTTCCAGGCCACCGGAGTCTTAAGCCTGTCTTAAACACACTGGTCTAATCTGGGACCAGATGTCTTGTCTGGTCTCTGTCCACCCTCCGAAAAAACAAAAACAGTCTAGAAACCTCGGCTGTTTCTCTTTTGATTTACTATTAGGATGTTATAGTGTCGGCCATCATAAAAGAGGACATCTGTTAGAAAGTCTACACGAAGCTCTGGCTTAAATTAGTGATTTCATGAATGTGGTTTGGTTAGTTTAGTATCTGAGCCTTTATTTTCATAATTGGATGCTCAGAGATGTTTTTATTGAGTTCTTTTTGCTATAATCTATTGGTGGAGGTTAATACTGCTGTCAAATTGTCTATGTATCCAATAGTTTAGCCTAGTAGCTGTTCTGGAGCTTTCTATAATATCCCATGAGCTTCATCAGCAGATGGAGTTTGCCATGCATGGGATTTTTAGATGTTTCCCAGCACTTGTCTTTCCCATGTTTGCTTTAAAACTAAGGTTCAATATTTGTTCTTGACCTTGGAAACCGTAGGTAAGACAAAAAGGTCTCTGAGCAAGGCCAATTTTGTCAGCTGTTCTGAAAAATCTACAGGTTTTTTGCCAAGAAATTGGTCCAATTTTTATCAGAAAAATGAATTTAAAATCCAAATCTTCCATTCCTACTTAATTTGTCAAACTATTTTAATCACAAAGTCCGCTTTTCTGGTCTTTTCCATCTTATCTCGGGATCTTCACGAGCAGAGGAAGTTTGCTTGGACCAGATATCTAGATTTCCATTTTGTGCACACTTCCATGTTGATTCTTGAACAGACAATGGGTGTTTCTCAATGGGTGTTTCTCAATGTCGAGGAGACTTGCTTGGTAGCACATGTACCTCCGAGTCAGATGCTTCAGAAGCGATGCAAGAATCCTTCCCAGCCTTGGAAAACGAAGAATGGTGGAACAGGCTAACGGGTTTGCAGGTGTGCATCATATGCGAGGCCCCGCCTTAAATGGAGCGCGATTTCCGCCAAAGATTTGAAAATTGGTCCGTGCGCAAAGCATTGTGGGGATTTTAAGACCGCGGAGTCTACACATGTGCAGCCTCGAAATTTCCCGCAACGAAGTACGCCGGCCTCGGTAGAATTCCAAGTATGCTGGACATGGGAACAGTCCTTCGGTGGCACTCGATGACGTAGTATCCTTGAAATAGTGGCTCTGGAGCAGCTTTCCTCGACACCCAATGTCTCTTCATTTTGCTGTTGTGGAGCGATTGTGTTAAATGTCCATTTCCTTTGTGCTTCCCAAACACGTTGGCTCCTAAGAAGCAGTTCAGAGGTCATTATTGAACAGAATTTGAGGAAACGGTCAAACATCACGGTCCCTTTAGTGACTGCTTTCAATATATCACATGATCTGCCTCTGTCTTTGCACCTCAACAACTTCGAAAACCATGTTGCCTTTGTAGATGAAATGAATGTTGGTAAAGTCTCACCATTGGGTCCATTGAGTAACTGCTCTGGGGTTTTTATAGAACATCACATTGAACCTCATGGAGTCTATAATTTCATGGAAAAACTCCCATCTGATAATGAAAGTCATGACAAATAGTTTGTAGATTTGTGCAGGTTTTATCTGTAAAAGCTGCAGCGCTCGGAGGTAACATTTGCAGTGTTTAGTCTTTCTCCTTCCAAATTGGAGCCTGACTAGACAACATTTGAGTTCATAGGCCATGCTGTGTGTGTGTGTGTGTGATTTTCCCTTGGCTCGTGGCTTGTTACAGTTCAAACTTCCTTCTTCTGACTGTCTCTCCATTGTTCCACTTTTGTTTCCCCGACAGTAATTTCCTTTTCTCTTTTCCACTCTTTGCATTTCTGCCTTTTCCTGGTGGCGCCCTGGGTCACAGTTTTTGTTCTGCTTTTTGTTTTTTCTCTCTTTCGCTACAACTGCTCAGGACTGACTATCCCAGCTTCATGTGCAATGTTGCAACTTATTTAAAATTGCATGACAACCATCAGTTGGTTTATAAAGGCCCTGCACAGCATTTGATGTCGCTGTTTCACTTTTTCCTGGCTCTAGTGGTTATTTAACTGTACTCTTAGTCTTCAAAACAGAGATTTGTCCATACTGGTGTACATTGCAATACAGCTCGTTCTTTCTCTGGTTGAATGTGTTACAGACTGTAATAGGAAAACAAATGAAGCACTGATGCAGGGACTCTCTGATCCTCGTCCTTGGGTCTGAAAGATAATTTCCGTCCTTGAATCTCTTCATCTATGTAATGTACTTCCTCTATTTGGATTTCACTCCAGCAAGAAGTACAAAAGGTCATGTGACATAACAAAAAATCCTGTTTTCATTTCATGCACAAGTAGACGCAACATATAAAGTGCATTTGGATAAAAAAAAATAAGCAAGCATTGAACCCTTGTTATCTAAACACCATTGTTCTTGTTCCTTTTATATGTTAATATATTCTATGATCGTTTTTTTCATTACTTTTTCTCTCTAGATGTCACAATTCTGAGCTATGAGTATTTTGATCAATGAGCATCTAGGTATACTGAATTGTAAATTGGGGCTAAATCTAATAAATCAGTTATTCTGCAACAATTTATTTATTATTGTTTAATTGAAGAGTCCATTTTGAGACAAAATCTCAATCTTTTTGTTAAGAAACAAGATCTTAGGCTCAAATACAGTCCATCTTTGTTTTTACAAGTGTTTAATTCACAAACACTTGCAAATATTTAGAGTTTTACCTAATTTATCAGTGCAAAGATGTGTCAGAATATCGTCTAGAGCAGCAACTACTGAACCATAAAGCAAGTAAACATATTTCCTATTATTTCAAACTCTTCCTTTGAGAGGAGTTTGGCTAACTAAGCACAGGTGACAATTACAACACACAGGTTAGTGGTCTTCTAGGCGTCACTTCAGTATGTTTTGCAGTTTTTGGTCACAGCTGGAGTCCGATTTCCCCTCTCTTCTCCCTCGCAGTAACTTTTCCGGTCATCCCTTTCTCTCTTACAAGTCTTTTTAATGACTGATTTTAAATGCCATTTTCTTAATGTCTTTCATTTTTTGTAAAGCACTTTGAATTGCCTTGTGTTGAAAAGTGCTATATAAATAAACTTGCCTTGCCTTGCCTTGCCTTGCCTTGCCTTGCCTTGCCTTGCCTTGCCTTGCCTTGCCTTGCCTTGCCTTGCCTTACAAAGGACTCCTAGAATACTTAGAAATGGCCTTTTAGTGAACAGGAGACGAGACTATTCTTCTACTCTTAACTTTGGGGCTCGTATTACCCTCATTTGCAGCAGTTTCTATAGCTTGTCTCCTCAGTTTTGAGGGACATTGCTTAACAATACATTTTTCTTGGGTTCAAATGTCTGATTGTGTGCTGTTTTCCCCGAGGGATATTATTCTCTCTCCTCGTCCTACTTTGCTGTTTTGCATCAACAAACAAGGAGGAAACTGTTGGGCTGTGCTTTGCATTTTCTTTTCATTTGCGTACAGAAATACTTCAACCTAATACAGTGCTTGTTTATCTTGTCATTGTGCAGAGTTAATCTTTACATTTGGACTCAAATCTAACACATATAATCGCATTGGCTGTCAGACTTGTGTTTAAATGGATGAACAGTGAGCTGCTTCTATACTGTGCAGCTCATAATTAGAGGGGCTATGCTAAGGTCACACACACCTTCTTAAAAAACGCAGATGTTTATATCTAAATGTGTCCTTCCACACTCCTAACCTCCACCCTGGCTAAATGGCTGTTTATATGTATTGCAGCCCTCCACATGACAATAACTGTACTTTTAGGGAATAAGTGTTTTTGATTCCTGTTGACTCTGTTATTGGCTTCTCAATGTCAGCCCCCACTGCAATTTTAACCAGATTGTTTCACTTATGGGATTATTCATATCAACAAGTTGAAGAGTGGTTGTTGATCTGGTTTAAGGATGGATATTTAAATTACACGATGCTTCACAGTAATTCACTTGGATGGGGATGCTCCTGCAGACTGGCTTCTTCATGCAGCACTTATTTGATGGTTGATGTGTCAAAGTTTGGTAGTTGTAGCACTGTATTAAACGGTGTTGCTGGTTCATTGTCAGTCAAACTGAAATATCTCAACTTGTGGAGGAATTTTTATGAAATGTGGAGCAGACGTTAATATCCCCCTCGGGATGAACTATAGTAACCCTTCCATGTT